TAACTGTAGGTGCCGAGATCTGGTAGATTCCTCAGCGATATACTTTAATGAACTGGCAAGCAGATGTCTCACTGACTAGTATAAACAGCGCCTATGAGAAGCGAGGTTGTAGTCAGGCCGGACAAAAGTACAGGTAACCTGACTGGTGTCAGATGGCCACATCTGCAGACAGAGAAGTCTTGTAGGACTGTCTTTCAGTTTATAGTGTCAGCATATCTCTGGGTAGATGGCATCAGAATTGGATAGAGTTATAGAGCACCGAGAGTTGAAGAAATTGTTGTTCTGGAGAAACTTCCCATGTAATTGGTGTCAGGAGTACTCTGTAGGTAAAGGAAAACAGCTTATTTCCTTATTTTCTTTCATAATCCCGTGTTTTTCCCTTTGGTATTATTAGGGGTAACTGTTATTTTAATGTCTGAAAGACCTTGGCAGCCAGCTTGGCATCCTATTTTAGGTTTATACGCAGGCACACTCCTGGGTGCTACGAATACAATGGTCAACCAATCAAGACTGCTCTCTGCTCCCACAGGAGTGGGGGCCCAAGATGGCGAGTGCTGCCCTGTGTTACTGTTGAGTTGCACAGTGTTGAAGTCCTGAAGTGTGGGCGTGTCAACAAAGGTCTTCGGAAGCTTCTGATTGTTGTTTCACTTTCCACTGTGCAAAGGAAGACATAGCTCCCCCCTAAATGTCAGCCAAAGGAGAAAGTAATAGGGGAGCCACTGACAGCACTTAATCTGCCACCTTCGTTAGAACAACAACAAAAGGACACTTACCAGTTTGTGGGAAGGAGCTGACAGAGTTATCCTTTGGAGTATTCTTCCTTGAGGTGGTGGGCACCTGGGTCTGTGACACAACAATTTGGAACACAGAGACCATAACAAATTTGAAGATGTGAGGCTATGGTGCCAGAGGACAGAAAAGAAAACAGTGAAAGCAAGAGAGAGACGGCTTGCTGCTATGGGGCTAGGTGCCTGTGCACCAGCAGCTGGGGTGAGGACACAACTCCGTCCAGCAAAGACAGATGGACAACAGCGTGGAAAGAGCAGTGGCTAAGAGAGAAACAGGGGAACACCCCCATTCACAGTATCCTTAAACCTACCAAGGTGGTGAAAGGCCTCTGTCACACCCGACCCCTGTCTCAGTATCCTAAGCCAAGATGGCAGGTTCCCAGTGCAGAATCTTGATTGCCAACCTGGCAAACTTCCATGCTCAGAAGGCTCCTTCACAGGGTGACTTCTGTGCCAGGTTAGTGAAACAGGTCCTGTCCTCAAGACATCCTGTCACAACCCTTGCTCCTTTCAGCCATGCAAGAGCTAGGGATGGGGAGGGATGGGGGGAGGGAAGCTAACGGGGTGGAACCATCTGCCACACTCCTGCCCTGCCCCCAAGGTTCCAGGCTGCGGAGACTAGCTGCATTTAGTTCTAGACACATTGCTACCCTTGGTCGGCCCGTTCTCCTGGGCCCTGCACTTCGTCCAGAGGCAGAGCTTGTTCACTGGGCAGCACCACAGCACAGGATTCTGCTCTACACGCCCTCTGTGGATTGCTCTGGCCATGGGGGCGGGGGAGAAAGGAGACCTGGGGAGGGAATGGAGAGCTCTCACCAGCTGAAGATCAAGGATTGCCACACAATTAGCAACACCTTTCCTGTATGTGGACATTATTCTTCTTCTGTAGAGATTAATAGTGTTAAAAAAGCAATAAACCATGCTAAGACCCGAGTGTGTGTGACATTTATTCTTTTCTGATATTTTTGAGGACTCTCATAAGACTTTTGTTTACAATAAAAACACCCTTTCCCATGAGCCCATCTAATACACCTCAACAAGGATCCCATTTAAATCCTTACTAACCCTTTGAAGCTAGGAACTGAGAATCCACCGAAATCATATGTGTCTATATAAAAGCAATGAGAACGCTCTCTTGACAAACTCACGTCCACATTCCTAACTCCCGCACTCAGTCCCTTTTCACAAGTTCCATGCTGCTTCCCACTGGCTCATCTTGAAATCCCTTTCTACGGAGGGTGGGACTCCTGACCGCACATGAGTGAGGCCTGTTAAGTGGCCCCTTGGGCAGCAGCACTGAGCTGTGGCTGCCAGCCCTGGAGCTACGGGTTCGTGCTGTCCTAGGAAGACAGCTGATCATCGCTTCACGCGTCCATAAAACCGGAAGGGAAAACCTTCACAGACCGGGAGGATGAGGCAACCAACCGGAGAAAATGCTGGTCACAGGGTGGATGTGTTGACTCTTGGCCCATACACAGCAAGCTTCCTGAGGACCAAGACCACACAGGACTCAAACGGGTTTCTCAAGTTCTTGGGAGAGTAGCTGGGACACAGAACATGCTCAGTGGCTGTTGCACTGGAGGAGTGTGAGGTGTAGAAAGCAGCTGTCCTGCCTCCATCCCCTCAGGCCTCTGAGTGAGGGCTTTGAAAGTGAAACTGATAACTTAGCCCAAGGCAGTGGTTCTCAACCTGTGGGTCTCGACCCCTTTTGGGTGTTGAAAGGGGTCATATCTCAGACACCCTGCATCTCAGATATTTACCTTATAGCAAAATTATAGTTATATCAAGTAGTAGTGAAAATCATTTTGCTGTTGGGTGTCACCACCACCTGAAGAACTATCAAAGGGTTGCAGCATTAGGAAGGTTGAGAAGCACTGGCCCAAGGGCCTTGTCTAAGGCACCATTCATCTGTGTGGAAGCTTAGGCAATTAATATCTCCTAGATAACTCATTAGTCATGATGCCTGGGAGTTGTGGTAAATTCCTGCCATCCTCACTCCACGGTCAGAATATCTAGAAAGTACATGTTCTACCCAAATTGCCAGAAATCTGCCGTGATCTCCAGTGACCAGGGGTGTTAACTTTGATGCCCACCTTAGTGTTCCCCTCTTGCTTGTTTTTCTTGATAAACTGCTTACACTGAAATCCCTGGTTAGCTTGGAGGGGAACCTAAATTAAGAAAAAGGCACTGGGTTTGAACCCTGTGTGACACATGAGGCTGCCAGAAGTGACCTCCCTTCCCTCTGCGTCCATCCCTCCTCCCTCTTGGTTTGAGATCTTTTGGTAAGCTACTTGATCCCACCCTCATTCACCCTGAACCAGAATGCTTGCCAAGCCTTGGCTACCTTCGTGCTGGCTATGGTGGCATCCACTGAAGTTGGCTGATTTTTCAGGAGTGAGGCCCCAGCAGCCCCATGACTGATGTGGCAAAGCAAATCTTGTGTTTTCTGGACACTAAGGTGACCTTAGCTTGCTCTGGGGTCATCATCTGCTTGTGACTTGCTTACTGTCATGAAGACAGTAACTCAATGTTGCTACATCTTGCTTGGATTCTATTAGGAATAGAATCTGTACACTTGCTTGTGGCTCTGTTTGCTCTCTGCTAAATAATGCAGAACACAGTACAAAATGCTTTACTGCCATAATGGGAAGTTGTCAGTGGTTTTCCCAGAAGGAGGCTCTTGCCCTTGGGCACCAGAGGCCCAGAAATGGACATCATGATGACTTGTAAACTGTTAGTTTTAAAGACATCTTTCCAAGTTCTTCTAGGTTCTCTTATCTGTACTGTTCTCTGTATAATGAAAAACAACCGAAGACTCTTATCACTGTGTTGGATTATAAAGTACCAGAATGGATTTCTTCGTATTGGCACTCAGCATTTTGGCTGGACAGCCACAGGACACAGCCATGCTGACTATCAACTCAGCTATCAACTCAGTTGAACCCTGTTCCAACTCACTTGAGGTTTTGTTTGTGTCTGCTCTTGTGTTTTCAAATAGGCTGTCCTCTTGTTGACCAGGATGGCCTTGAACCCTCTCTCTTCATGCCAGATTGGCCTCACCTGCAGTGCCTCAGATTCCCAAGTGTGGTGATCACAGGCATCCACCACCGTGTCTGGCTTCCTCACCATGACTTTTAAAAGGATATTCAAAAGTGCCACTTGTTTATTTTTTGAAATTACCTTTATTTATTTATTTTATGTCTGCGGGCATTCTGCCTGCTTGTATGTCTGTGCACCATGTGCAGTACCCACGGAAGCCGGAAGAGGGGGTCCGCTCTGTAACTGGAGCTACAGATAACTGTGAGCTGCCATGTGGGTGCTGGCAATCGAACCAGGGTCCTCTAAAAGACCAGTCAAACGCTCTTAACTATTGAGCCATTTTTCCAGCCCCCAACACTACTGTTTATGAGGTACACCTTTGGTCCAGGATCTTTGCTACTCTATTGCATACATTATTTTATTTAACACTCATGCCTACTGTCCAAGGTTTTTTGTTTGTTCGTTTGTTTTGTTTTTGTCTTGTGAATCAGGAAACTGAGACTGAAAGGTCAGAGAGAGTTAAAGAGCTGGGATTCAAGCTTTGCCTTCAACATAGGTCATGGGCTTATTGATTCTCCTCATCCACTAATTCCCCAGCTTTTGTCTTAGCCCCACTGACTTTCCTGCTGGGAGCCAGGAAAGTAGACCTTTTAATTTATGCCTAGGAAGATGATAGCATCTTCTGCTCTTCCTCTGGCTGCTGTCAAGTACTTGCTACTCCTCAGGACCTTAGTTTGCTCCCAGGGTCGTTGCTATGGAATCTATTTGTGCAATATCTATTTGTCATCTTCTCAGATAGCTACAGTCCTACCTTCCCTGGGCTCAGCCTTACCTTCACTTCAGCATGCTTTCCAGAGCCAAGATAACCACCTTTGCCTCTTAAAGGGTGCAGCACCTTTGTTACAGCATGAAGATGGTGACCTTTACTGAGGTCAGGACCAGCTCACCAAGATGACAAACATGGGACAATGTCTTAGATGACCTGTCCTCGGCATCTCCCTGTGGTCCCCTCAACTAAGCAGGAGGTGTGGCATTGTTTGTTAAGCTCTGTCCACTCTCTGTGACAGCCTGTGTGGGAAATCTGCAGCAGCTTTTGACTTGAATGAGGACATTCTTTATTTTGTGAGGATAGCTTGCGTGAACCTGCAAGCAGGTTTTCTGATGGTCCAGAGCCTACCTATGACGACTTCTAAGCAAGAAGATCAGCACGGCAACAATTAGGCCAATCACAAATAAATCCCAGTATGGTCCAACGGTGCTGTCCAGTTTCAGCCACTTCCATCTCATGGTAAACTGCTGGCAAGAGGCATTCAGTCAAAGAAGAAAACAATCCCAGCATCGCACCATGGTCAGAACCATTTCTCCTCACAAACCCACCACTGCCAGTCCCACCCACAGGCCACCCCTCCTGCTTCCTTCTCTCTTAGAAGAAGTGATCTGACTCAGGGCACAGCTCATGCATGGGCTTAATTACCACCTCAAAGATGAATAGCCTCAAGTATAAATTTAGCTGGACATGGCGGCACTTGCCTGTAATCCCTGCCCTGTGAAGGGCCTCAAAGTTGAGGTCAGCCTGGGTTACCCAGCGACTTCCAGGTCAGCCTTGGTTATGTCATAATATCCTATCTAAAAAAAAGATCTAATTTCTACTTTTAAGAAATCCAGCTCTTTATGGTGTCTCCTGCCACCTGCCATCTGCTTCCAAGCTCAGATTTCAATGGCAAGAGTTGTGTTTTGAACAAGTATACATAGCACATCTCTGCTCAAGGCTTTGGGCGTAGTGTGCTGGAAAGACTATGCGCTGAATTAATTCACTGCTTGTTCTACATAGTGTCAATGCACACTCAACAGGTGGAACTGCTATGCAGTAAGTGCAACACTTTGCATTCTACTTATCAAAGACAAGTTAACTAAACACACACAACAACAACAACAAAACCCAAAACTCCCTTGGTAAGCCTCATCACTTTGTCCTGAGTTTCTTGGAGTTTTCAGAGTTTCTGAGAATCTACCTGAGACGAGATGAACTTACATTAAAAAACAGGATGTCTCGGAGCAAATGCATAGTTTCCAGTTTCATAAGGGCAAAGAACACAGGTAGGTGCGCATCTGGGCTTGTCTGAGCAGCCATGTCGTACAACCTTCTGGCCAGGTGAATGTCCTAGAAAGAAAGCAGTGCGTGCTCATCAGGAACAGCTTCTCGAAACAGAAACTGTTGTTAGAGCTATCACAATTTATATTTGGTAGACAGAATGGGCCCACAACATTGTCCTTGCCTTATCCCTGGAGCCTGAGGCTATGTCATATCATACACAGCAAAGGGGGATTTGAAAATAAAGCCATAGACCTTAAAACAGAGTCTCCTTGACTACCTAGGTGGTCGTAGATACACATGTCTTGAAGGCAGGAGAAAGGCAGATGTAGCAGGAGAGGGAGATTAAAAGTATGGGAACTCAACTTGTCTCACAGGTGGGGGTGGGGGGAAAGAAGCCAAAGCAACTCAGCTAGCGAGGACGGAACAAGGGGCTTGGTCTTAGCAACGGCATGTGTGTGTTTTTAAGTCCACATCCTTGGCTAATTTTACTGCAGGTGTGCTGGACAGCGCTATCCTCCCCAAAAAAAACACCACCGGCTTCATCAGGTCAGCTGGGCTTGTGAGCTGTTGACACTTGCTCACAGCAGGAGTTGGGGAGGGCCACTGACCCTCACAGTTCAGTATTCAGCTGCGACTCACAGCCTTTTGTAATTCTGTCCTATTTGCATGTGTCCAGGCAGGCCCTAGACTGGGCTGTTGAGGACGCTGTGAAGGGGTCCATCTTTGCTGCTTTGGAGAAGTCATCATCCACGCTGAATGAGAACCTACCAGCGCAGTGGCTTAGTAACTCCTGACTCATGTTCTGTAAGTGATGCCCTCCAAAATTCCTTGGTTCTCTGGGGCGAACTTTGGAGGAATCAGACTTTGGGTTGTCCTTGGCCCTGAGCTGAGGTGCTTCTCAGGGAAGCTATCAGGATAAATCATCTGCCCACACTGACTGTCTGCAAAGGCAGATGAGCGCACCAGCGGCTTATATTTTCACGCGGCCTCCACAAGAGCTGGTTTATCCCTCACTTCACTCCTTACATGCAGGTGTTTACATGATCCGCCAGTCTTCCTTCATTCTCGGACACTCTCTGGAAATGACAGTACACTCATTTTCCCCACTGGTTTGCACGAGATCTGGTGACAGGGATGGTGAAGTGACCTGCTGAAGAGATGCTACAGTGCACGGTGGCACTAGAAAGGCCATCCTCCCAAACGCTATGGAATGAGTTTGGGGCTTGACTCGTCAGGCTGCTTATGATGGTTAGACTCACTTTATTAATTTGGCTAGATGTTGAGATTAGTAAACTGCCCTGAACACTTGGGTTTACTTTTCTAATTTCTAAACAAAGGACAAAATCCAGGGATCTCTCATCAGCGAAATCCCTAGTCCTGAGACCTAGGTCTGAATGAAGTCCCTTGTTTCTCTTCTTTATTTCTCTCTTTGTCTGGTTTCTATTTGTCTCCCACTCCACTACTGGTTTTGTTTCTTTGTTGAGACAGCATTTCTCTGTGTAGCCTTGGCTGTCCTGGACTCAGTTTGTAGAGTAGGCTGGCCTCGAACTCACAGAGATCTACCTGCCTCTGCCTCCTGAGAGTGGGGATTAAAGGCATGTGCCACCATGCCCAGCTCCACCTCTGGTTTTTTAATGTAGACGCTTTCTGGCATAACAACAAAGGAAAACCCAGGAGACCTCAAGGGAAGAAAACTGATCCAAGTGAGTTAAGAAGAAAGCTGGCAGGAAGAGATGGAAAAGCAGTCAGAGGGAAGAGCCTACAGCTCTTGTTCTGAGTGTGAAACAGATGTCCCCACGGCTGCTTTCTGAATTGTGAGCAAAGTGGCAGGCAAAGAGCTTCACTGGTGGCCCTGGCAGAAAACCAAAGCTTCTGGGGTGGGGGAAATGGTCTCACTGTGGTGAGGATGTGGCTGTCAGGAGACCAAGTTATTTTTTGAGTTACTGGGAGAGCTGAGTGATGGAGCAGGCCGGGTGGGTTCATTTGTACACTTTCTGGAAATAGTGCTTCTGTGGGGTTATGGTGTTTCGTGTGCGGAACTATGAATAAAAACCTTCATCGTATTGAAAACTTAGCAGCTGTTCAGATTCCTTTCTGATGTAATGACAGCCATTCCACATAGCATTTAACTACAAAGCCTTGCACGCAGGCTCGTTCATTTCGTCCTCTAAGCCGGGGGTGGGCCGGGGGTCTTTAGGTACTTCTCTGATGTGGATGGCAGCGGGAGGTGGTGGGTCAGTCATCAACACCATCAGAATTATTTAATTTAGGTAGTGGGCTCTGTCTATGGTACAAACACGGGTGGGGGGGCTGACACCTGCGAGATGTGGGGAAAGCAGACTGGATTTGTTGTTGATATTTTAGTGCTCAGGGTGCTGAGGCTGATGAGAGGTAAAGGCAGCCTGCGGGGAGAGCAAGACAGAGGGATCCCCACCGCTGGGTGGGCAGAAGCAGCCGCCTTTGGCTGCAGATCGCTCAGCAGTTCTCAGGAATTTCTCCATTGGTAGTCCTGCTGGGCTGAAGAAAGCTCAGAGCCAACAGTCTCCACAGTCTTTCATCCTAGAAATAGTTAGCAGTATAAACAGAGAGAAACCTGCTTGGTGACTAAGAATGGCTCATTGTCAGATCCATTGTTTGTTGTTTTTTTCCCTGAAATGCTTGGGATCAGACAAGCCTTGCATAATAGCCCGGATCCATTACCAAAGATTCTGCAAATGAGGTCAAATGGTTCGACCTCTGCAGTGTGGATTCCTGATGCACAGAAAATGTATTTTATGTGTATATATATGTGTGTGTATATGTGATTTTACATATATGTATCACCTAACCAAGACTGGTTAATATTAGCATTTAACATACCTATACACCTGCCTCCGACTCAGACTCAGGATCCTTTGCCTGATTACTCCCGCTGACTAAGGGATGTCCCCCAGTAGCACCTGTAGTGTTAGCTTTCTTTCATTACTGAATGCACCTCAAGACAGCTACAGTCTCTGAGGCCTCTCTAGAGTGCCCAGTATGGTGTCTTGGAGATAACAGTTGCTCTGTGAGATGTCTCTAGATTGATGAATGTCATCTTAATCTCTAACGTGGGCCTCATTCCACTTCGCTATTGTTACTGACAGTTTAGGAGTTGGTGGAGATGTCAGTAATTAAGTCCTGGCAGTGAAGAAGTAGAGACAGGGCTCATTATAAAAGTGTGTGTTGGGAAAAGGAGGAATGTACGAATCAGGCCCAAATTAGCTTTCTTTTACTAATTAATATGTCCTTAGTGCAAATGGAGGATATGAAGGCAATAGTATAGTTCTTTGTGTTAGCACAAGGGGGAGGGACTCTTTTTCTTCTACATTAATGACATCAATGCAGTCCCAAACATCTATGAATTTTTCCTTCTCACACAGCTGTCATTACTAGCTTTGAACCAAGGCAGTTACCTTCGCGATGCCCAGGCCGTGTTCATACATGTAGGCCAGGTTGAACATGGCTTGGGCACTGCGGTGCTTGTCTGCGGCGATGCTGTAATGTGTGGCCGCGGCGCCGTAGTCCTGCTTGGTCCCATAGCCATAGTAATGGTAATCTCCAATCTTCAGCCGAGCAAAAGCGTTCCCTGAGAGAAACCGCAGGAAAATTACCAGTGGCTCATGTATAGTTCTCAGCGAGTCAACCTAATAAGCTGTGAAAACACCACAGACCCATGCATGTATACAAGCGTGCACATGAAATGCTCAAAATCTCACACTGAAGATTACGTGTACTTAGGAAACACAAGACACGGTGCTCACTGCTACTAGGCTTCGGTGCAGGGTAACCTTCATGGTTGTAATATTCTGAAAGAAATGATACACTACACATTTTACCTTTTAAATTGGAGGTAGAACGACAAGTCTTGGAAAACTAAATCCCATCTTTCTTGTCCCTAGAATGCCTTTCTAAAACACTGCTCTCATAGGCAGTAGCCCAGTCAGGGCAAGGCGAGAGCCACAGGCTCTTAATTACTGAGAGAGTTCTGGAGCCTAGTATGGTACTTGATAAATATTTATGGAATGATTAGACAAACATGCTAGGATATTTTTAGAAAATGCCTTCCCCAGAGGTGATTTAGGATATTACTTTCCAACAAACATGGAGATATCAAGGAGGGGAAAACCACATTACTTTTAAATATATGCAACCTCATTCTTTTGAAGGTCACTTAGAGATGGTGTGTGTGTGTGTGTGTGTGTGTGTGTGTGTGTGTGTGTTGGGCAATGGCCATGCTTCTGTTCTGTGGCTTGAGAGGATGAGGAAAAATTCATGTTGGATATTTGTCTCAGCTGAGGCCAACCCTTCACAAAGTCTGTGTTTTTTTGGAAAATGGGAACCATGTGTAGTAGGGTCTGAGGTATGCCTTGAGATACAGGAGTCCTTTCAAAATTCACCGCCTATTTGTGCGGTGGCTAATTTTTTAAAGTGATGCCTCTAGGGTCTTCCTATTACAGAATTGAAGGAGATATGACACCATGAGCCATCTTTGGCCCCTAAACAGAGCTAATGTTTTAAAGTTCTTAAGCTGATGAAGACATTAGCTTTCAGAGTTTGCTTCCCAGGTAATGCATACAAAATGTACAGGAGGATGGAAGCAAGGGCTGGTGGGAATGGCATTCAAGCAAGGGTAACTACAGAGGCCAGGGAGACATGATGCCCCAAATAGAAGCCCACCCATCTCTAATTTTGTTCAAGCCATCATCCTGACCTCAAGGTTCCATCTGGCCATAGTCACAAAGGGATGGGACACATGTGTATTCTTAAACTTTGCAGGGAAGAGCAGGAGCCCCCAAGGCACTGAGACTAGAGGACATGAACAAGCCTGTCCTCAGAGCAGTGGTATCCCAATGAATGGTACTGACGGAGTACGTGTGGTAATTCTGACAGGCTCCTGGATGCTTGGTTGCTGAGAGAGAGATTTGTATTTCAGTTCCATGATTGCTGCCTGAGCCATGACGGCTCAGTAGCCTCTCCACATGAAGCAGCTGCTAGAAGAAGCATTAATGACTAACTAGAAGCTTTCATTATTAGATCTTCTTCCTGGTGAGCCTCTCAGCAGCCATAGCTTTGAGAATGGGCATGCCAACCTTTCGTGACACGGTTATTTTCAGCAGCCTTGTGTATGTGTATCCCACTTAATATGAATCTCTCCTCATTTTCAACTTTTCTTTGTTCCAGTTTCCATGCCCTTTCCTGACTTGAAATCAACGTGTGTTTGTTGCAATTGAGCTGATTTGCCATGGCTGAGAGATTGCTGGTGCTGTTTTCTCATTCCAAATAAGGTCTTTATTGCATTTTAGAAAACATAGAATTTCTCACTAAAATTGCATTGATGGCTTGCTGCTGTATTACCAGCTCAGCTGGGTCTGCGAAGGCACCACTGTGGGTTTGTTGTTTTTCTGCTTCATATTAGCATCAGCTGGGAAGCATTTTTTATCCTATTACTTCCTGTTAAAAGGGATGATTCAGCCTTAACAGGAGATGATTTCAAGAACCTAATTGGAAATAAAATTGCTCTCTTACTGAAGGAGTTCCTTGCACATCCAAATGCTAACCCTGACAGCTGTGCGACACCTCCCTGATTTTAATACTATAATTTTGGGGAAAAAAATTGGAAGGGACATGGTGATTCAAACACCACCTGCCAATGCTGTTCCAAGCAATGATAGTTTACAGTTCTTACCACGTGTGAAACCAATAAGTAGGAAGGCCTTGAGAACGCCAAGAAAGGATCTTCCCACTTATTCATGCCTTTAAAAAATTCTAACGTGCCAAGGGTTAGAGCGGAGCTCTGAAGTGTGTTGTCACCACCAGGGCCTCATTTTAGAAGTCAGACGCCGTCTGTACAGAATTAATTTTGCCTACATATTCAGAGACACACAGGTCACATCTCAGATTAGCTCAGTAAACAACTCAGCAAATGACTGACTAAAGCCAGACCAAGAAAATTGTTTTCTTGAGTAAAATTACCATGTTTCAAACAACAGTTCTGGTGCCATGGCGATAGAGACAGACTCCGAGGGATTGTTAACCTAAGGGACCCCGAGAGTAAGGAAGGAAACACATTTTCGGAAATGGCCTCGACCGGCAGTATAATTTGAAGCGACCCTCCTCGACTCCCTGTCCCTCTCTGCCTCTGGGCCCAGCAACACAACTGAAGCAGATCACAGGAGCAGTCATGGGCGGGGTCCAGCCGCGCACCTAGGCGGATCTGTTTGTACCTTGAACAGCAGCTCGGTTCCATAGCAGAAGTGCCATTGGATACATCTTTTCCTTCCCCAGAATTTTAGCTTTTTCTAAAAGAAAAGGAAGATGAAGAGAAAAAGGAAATGCTGCGTTAAGAGGGCTTGAGTGGGGATGCAGCAAGCGTGTATGCAGATGAGCGTTTAGGGAATTGCAGAGATCTTATCTTACGAGATTCCAAAATGAACGCTGAATTGCTTTGAGCTACTTCGTATCCCATTTCGGCAAGCAGCGCGTACTGAATAAGCGAAGAATCTACGTCGCCGTCCTTATAGGCAAAGTAGGCCGTCAGGAATTTCTCAGCCCAGTGGCCTAGTTCACAGACACCTTTGTAAAGCTGAATGGGAAGAGAAATCGAACAGGCTGGTCAGCTTGATCCTATACAGTCCTCTCTGAACCTACACTTCAGCTTCTGCCCGCTGAGCCGACAGGAACTTTTAAAAAAATTGCCTGGCTTTTGAAAATCACGTAGGGTGAAGAATTAATATGTTTCTAGGCACCCAGATTCTCAGGGTAGTTTTGTCTTTAGCAAATCATCCCAGGATCCTTTTTAATTTGTGTAATAAACTTTCCTGGCTTGAAGGCTGTTCAGCCAGGATAAAAATATCAGTTTGGAGGGCTTCCTGGTTGAGTCTGTCATTTTAAGGGCGCTGTGGCTCCGCAAGGCCAAAGCTGAGGTGGAAATGAGACCCGGAGGGTATAGGTAGCATAACGGGGAGGGAGGGTGCGGAGCTCCGTGGGGACAAATGTCAGCCTAGCTGAATAGCCCTTATGTAATCAAAAGAGGTTAGCCATACATAATTCATTAGGAAGTTGGCAAAGGCACAGATCTAAAGATAGATTATTAGCTGGCAGCTTTTGGAATGAGTTTCAGAGGGACCAGATTGCCGCGTGGAGGATTTATCCTGGTGCAGTGAACGTACTTAATAAATCAATGAAGGGCATTAAGGTCCTAAAAGCATTCTTTTTGAAAAGTACATTACTGGCTCAGGCGGAAAGAACTCACTTTCTCAATTGTCACCAACCGCCAAACACCTGAGGACCCTGTTTTCTGGGAAGGACCGGGCTCTATTTTCCAAGCTGAGTCAAGGCTTGCCAGAGAGCCCTGGTGAGAGCACCGAAGGCTGACACTCAGGAGAAGGGGCCATCTCCCTCCTCCTCCACGGGTTAAGCTACTCCGTGCTCTCCTCCTTGTCAGTGCGGTGGAGCAGGGTGCGACCCAGTGGGAGAGCCGAGCGCTTACCTCCACGGCGGTTCGGCAGGACCTCAGCACTCCGGTGCCGGTGGCGTACATCTCCGCTAGGTAGTAAATGGCCAGAGGCTGGCCGCTCTGGGATGCCAGGTAAAAGTACTTGAAGGCACGTTTGTAATCCTTCCACACTCCAGAGCCAGCTGAAAATTAAAATGTTTTGAGCCACGCATTACAAAACAAAACACCATTCTGTGGATGTCGTGGTCGTGGGGGCTGAGCTACGCTGTGGTCTTGACCAGTTCAGAAAATTAGGAAAGAAGGGCTGTTCGGTTCCGTGTGCATGAGAAGATGAACTAGTGCACGGCCGTGGGAGCGCCTCTGCGAGCGCCTTAGCATGACCGGCACACGTAGGGCCCAAGCAGCCGCAGACTCAGAGCAGGGCCGCGAGAAGTGGGCGCCCACGGTCGGGAGGGGCTGGGGCCGGGCAGGCGGAGGACCCCGAGCGCAGCCGCCCCGGCTCCAGAGTCCCTAAGGAGTAAGGCAGGAGCAGTGGCCCAGCCCGGCCTAGCGGCACGGTGGCGCACCCCTGAAACCTCAGCGCTCTGCACACTGTGGAAGGAGGGTCGTCAGTCCAAGGCCAGCTCAGACGACACAGTGAGACTCTCTAAATACATAAGTAAATAAATACAATTTTCAAAAATTAAAGAGAGCGAAAAAGTCCGGAGGCAGATTGCCTGGGTAGGACGTGCGGCCTTGATGTGACTCAGGTCTGCTCAGCTGTAAACTGCGGGGACCCACATGAGACAGTAAGATGAGCTGGAACGCGCGATGGCGTCACGACTACACTTCCCTAGAAGCTTGAGGAACGGGACGGAGTCCGGAGTCCGAGCTGAGATCGAACGAGATCAGCACAAGCGCAGGACACACCGGCTGGAGGACGTCAGGAGACTTCTGGCCAGATGTGCCCAGGCGAGGGAGGTGGCTGCTGCCCTCCCACCTCTGCGTGAAGGACTCTTTCAGCCCCCACAGAAGCTCACAAACGCTCACTCACTAGAGCCCTTGCCCTAACCGCCTCGCTGTTGCCCGTAAGAAGGCAACAGCCCCGGCCTGGCCTTCCTCGCCCGCCTCCCTCCTCACCGTCTTGCCTCGCGTTTATGTAGTTTGTGTAGCGGATCTCTCATTCCTCCTCCTAGGGCTGCAGCGTGAGACACCCCACTTCTCTCTCCAGGCCGGGAAGCCTCCACCTTTCCGGGGTCATTAGATCTTAACTGGACTTTTCCCAGAACCCCCTTTTGTCAATTATAATTATGGTTAGGTCTCTTATCTTTTTATAACAATTCCTTCTTGGACCCTGTTCTTTTCAGTCCTGTCAGTCTTCCTCTGAAGGCACACTTTTGGGACTAGTGTCTTCACTCTACACGTTCTCGCCTTGCGTTCACGCCCTAGCCCGCTGTCAGCTGGTCCTCATGTCAATACAACAATCGCACCAATGGTCTCCATCTTGACCAAACAATAAGGATACTACTGAATCTGTCCTTCCCTCTTCATTTTCCCTCTCCCTCCTCCCCTCTCCCTCCTCCCCTCTCCCTCTGCCCTTCCCACACCTCTCCTGTTCCTCCACCACTGCTACTGTTATCGCCTTCCTGCTGCACTGTCAGGGGCCTACACAGTCTCATTCATTCACTCTATCTGGGAAGTTCTATCCTTTTCCCCCTTTTGGATCCCTTTCAACCTCTCTACCCTTCCAGGCTTTTTTTTTTTTTTTTGTTAGGATGCCAAAAACAGATCACCAAATTTGCCCGTATATCTGCATTTCTTTTTTTTCTCACATTCTTTCTTTTCTCTTTGCAAGCTCAACCACTCTTAACTTACACCTATATGTTTATATTTCAAATCTTTCTCCTTAGCGTCATCCTTGTGTGTGTCACAGTTTCTTCTGGGTTGTACAGTGGCTTTCATAAGTACCCAAAGCTAAGCTTGTCAAAGGTGCCCATCTTGACTCTCTATGTTTAGGTTTCGTTAAAGCTCTCTCTCTCTCTCTCTTTGGTTTTCTGAAACAGAGTTTCTCTGTGTAGCCTTGTCTGTCCTGGATTCCCGTTGTAGACCAGGCTGGCCTTGAACTCACAGAGATCCACCTGCCTCTTCCTCCCTGACTGCTGGGATTACAGGTGTGTGCCACTGTGCCGGGCTTTTAAAGCTGTCTCTAACTGATGCCTTAATGTCCTCTTAAGCCTCTGAGCCTTTCATGTCTGTTATAGGAGGAGACGACTTGCTGATGTATAATTCACCCTAAGCAAGGCAGCCACTGTGGTACCTACAGTAGTACATGAAGCCCAGCTGGAACTGTGCGTTGGGCCAGCCCTTCTCGGCAGCTTTCTGGAAGTACTTAAGTGCTTCGCCGTAATTCTGCAAGGTAATCAGACTGCATTACTCACAGCTACATGCACAACCCCATGGTAACAACCACTGTCCAGCTTAGGAGTATAGTCAGGGTTCTGAAGTCTAGTTAAAACAGCAGCAGAAACGTAGCTGTCATCATTATATCAGAGTACATTAAATTGTTAGCTTATTCCATTATAAATTGTATCTGTTTGTATTGAGAGTTGGTTTGGTTAGATGGGGGAAGGTCACTCGAAAGACATGTTAAACTAAAAAGATAAATTTCTCTTTCAACACAATCTCAGGAGGCAGCTGTTTCAAAAGCTAGTTTGACCCCATGAGTCTCAGGCACAACTGTGGTTGCTATTCTTGTTGCAGGTTTGATCCTTTGTCTCTCTGCCAGAGATTTTACTAAACCATTTCATTCTCTGTCGGATATACTAGTTTGACTAAGCAATAAAAAAAAAAAAACCAATTCCTGCACATTAATGCGTGACCATTAATTTTAACCCCACAAATGCTAGAAAAACATTGACAGGATGACAAGGTTATTGAGCTTACCACAGGAACACCTTTTCCATGAAAGTAAAGGAGGCCAAGGCCGTGAAGACCAATTGCATTGCCCTAGAAGAATTTTTAAAAAATAGGTGATAAGGGAAATTATTGCAAAATCAATTCAAATATTTCAAAGGCACCCAGAAAGAAATGGCCAAGGCCATCAATCAGGCAGATGGCGAGTTACTCTGGCCTATTTTATACCCTTTCACACATTCATACCCACCACTCCCCCACCGGAAAAGAAAAGAAGGGAATAGAAGTCAGATCTTTACTTCATTCAGCACTTAGTGCTTGCTTTGTGAGTGATTCCATAAGAGCCCCTGGGCAGGATAAGAGGTAAACTTGGCCTTGGAGCTACAGACCCCTCCTTCCTCCCTTCTTTCCTTCCTTCTGCTTGCTTTTGTTTGTTTGTTTTAGAGTTCTTACCAAATAGCCCTGGCTGTCCTCAAACCCACAATCCTCCTGCCTCCCAAGCTCTAGGATTACAGGCCTGCAGCCCTGTGCCCAGTTAGGTGGGTCTAATGTCTTAGTTATGCTACATGCAGTCAATCCTGGAGTAAAATAAGTTAGAATGTTGTGGACAGGTAAAACAGGATACTTAACTGCCTGGCTGATGCTAGGAGCTTGGGAGGATCACAGTATCAAGGCAGTGACATTTGAGCCGGTACTCAGAGGATGGGTGCATTTTCTAGAATGGGAAGGTCTATTTATAAAATTGTTACCTAATTTGGCTGAAGGGATTTGACATCAATGGCCAAACAACATTTCAGGATGTTGGATTTTAGAACAACCACTGCTGGCAGCTAATAATTTATTAGTATCTGTATATTTTGTTATGTTAGGTAGTATGTTTATTCAAATTTGATGACTCATAACATTGTTAATATCTGCCTGATCTAAATTACCGTTTCTTTTTCTCATCTAGACTCAACACTCTAGAAATGGGGTGCTCTCAATAAGGGGAAGGCAAAGCTCGCCCAGCACAAGTTCTGGTGTATCAGTATAGTGTGTCAGTCCTGGGTGAAGAGTGAGCCTCAAAATGGCTTTCTCACAGGACAGATGGATCATGGGTAAAACTGTTTGGTGTGCAAGTAGAACAACTTAAGGTCCAGCCCTGGGCACTATGGAATTCATAGATTCCTGAAAGTTGTTCTCTGATCTCCATATACATGGGTGGTATATGTGTGCCTCACACATACTCTCTCACACAACACACACACACACACACACACACACACACACACACACACACACACACCCCTAGTGACTTTCCAACAGAGTTCCTTTTTTTTTTTTCTTATCTCCCCTCATGTCTTTTGCTCTCTGGTGGTTGTGTAAGGAGCCAGGGCTTGGCTATTTGGCTTCCCTTGAGCAGATCTGCCTGTCGATCTCTTTTATAGACTTATAGACTTTCCTCAGGAACTTAAGTTCTGATAGAAAGCTCTCTAGAGTCTCCTAAGAACCTAAATTTAGTTCTTAGTTCTTAGGCCAGAGCGTGCCCCCGTGACCAGGGAAGAGCACAGAGGCAGAGAAGGCATATCTCAGACACTATTTCAAGAGTCGCAGTGTGAGCCTGTGCCTTTAAAAGGATTTGATATTATTTTAAAAATCCCTGCGATATTCCATCGATGTCAAATAAGTGCACAAAGGCCCTACTGGCTTGTTTTGTGCTGGCAGTCAAAATTCTGAGGCCTTGAAGTGCGTAAGACTCTGTAACCAAGCTAAATTCCAGTCTCCTCTCCTCTTTTCTTTTATACCCAGCAGTGAGTTCTAGCAGCCAATGGCTGCTCTGCTTGGGGAATAAGGAGACCTATTGCGATGGAGCTGGCAATGTCTAGTGAGTCTGTTATCTAAGAAGTATCATTTAAATGTTGAGAAAATGAAAGGGGGGGAGGGGAGGAAGGGGAATGGAGAGAGGTATGACACAGAGAACAAAATGCTGTCCTCCTTTCACTGGATAACCCAATGGCACTAACCCCAGAGCATGTGTTAGAATCTTAAGACAGGGTTGCCCACTCTGCCATCTCCGTGCTTTGTGCTGGGGTGTGCGGACTCATAGGGTGCTGTCCTCTGAGTGCGACAGCCATTACTGTCATCGTTAGAATGTGCAAGAAATGCTCACAGCCGGGCCTATGGATGTTTCCTCAAAGGAGGGGGCGTCATCAGACTCTCTGCTTGAGGTTTCTGCTATTACTTTGGCACTCTCCTCCCCACTGTGTGAGACTCAGCGTTTGCTGCACAGCACCTGCGGGGACTCACTGAAGTGGGTAGCGTATGAAGCCATCATCTGTGCTGCTCTGGGGTCACCCCTTTCCTCCGAGTCACTGGTTCTCAACCTGTGGGTCTGAACAACCCGTTCACAGGCGTCACCTAAGATACCCTGCATATCAGATTACGATTCATAACAGTAGCAAAATTACAGTTATGAAGCAGCAACGAAAATAATTCTATAGTCAGGGGTCACCACGGCATGAGGGACCGTGTTAAAGGGTCACAGCGTCAGGAGGGTGGAGGACTCACGCTCCATAGGAAAGCCACTAAACTCCTTGGTTTGCCAAGTTGGATTTGGGCGGAATCGTGCTTTGATCTGTCACTGCGTTCTCTCTGGGATGGCTCAAATTAGGCCAGTGATGGAGCGGAGAGTGGGGCAGCCCAGAGGCTGTCTCCCCTGTCCCGGGACAGCCGCAGCAGATCAGCGTCTCTGCTCCCATTGCTGCCACATAGAACAGTAACCTGAAATCAGCGATGGCATCTTCAAAGAAAAGCCAGGACTATTTGTTTCTCCCTCAGGTTACTCATATGCTAACATGGTAACAAGGTTTGAGGGAAGAGAGTTATGAGCCACAAAAGGATCTGACTATCCATGTTTTGCTGCGATATTTCCTGATTTTACGAGCACTTTCTGGGATGAACAAAACATAGCTAACTTCCCAATATCCAAGTGCTGTGTTAGGGCTTAGTGTCCGCGATTAGCTGAGGGACGTGAACCTAGGGAGCAGATGGCCATTTATCTGCCAGTTAATGAACTTTAGCGTCAGGCTAGGGCTAGTCCTCCTCACGCTGAGGGGGGCATAGACTTCAGACAAGAGAAAAGCCAGAGGGCAGAAAGCTCCAGAACACAAGAGTACAGAGTAGGACACTAATTCGAAAGAAGGAAAGGATTTTGTGAGCAAAAGGATGTGGGGACGCTTTGTGGTTGGAAAGAGGATGGAGCCCTGCCTAGAATGGCCAGGACATAGAATGAGGACGACAGGAAGGAAGGGTGTGCCAAATGTGTGGAGGCGGAGTTGAGCCTGATGTGTTCTATGTCAGATAACAAGATGAAAGGGTTTGTAAACTGTTTTTCATATCCTGGTTCTGATAAAACTTTAAAGCAAATTTAACAACACACACACACACACACACACACACACGCACACACACGCGCACGCATGCACACACACGCACGCATGCACACACACACATGCACACACACCCCTACCCCCTTTTAGTAACAGCCTGCCCAGATTGGCCTTGAACTTGCTATGTAACTCCTGGCCCTCCCGCCTCTCCCTCTGAAGTGCTAGGATTATAGGATGCGTCACCACAGCTGCATTATGCACTGTGAAAGATTACACCCAGGATTTTGTGCATGCCAGGCAAGCAGTCTCCCAACGGAGCTAGAGCTCAACCCCAAGAACAGTATTTTATTTTTAAGTTGCAAAACAAAAATACGTATGAGAAATCTGACATGTTCAGGCCATCGCCATGGGGTGTGGCTGTGCCCACCCAGCGTTATTGAGAATTACTTCAAATACAGTTTTGGACCTCCTTTATAAAGAAGAAAGGCGAAGGTTAAAACAAAACTTGCCTGGATCACTCCTAGTTACAAATCCCCAAGCACCTGGGAGTTAGTTCACACACCCAGCTTCCTGGCGTTCTTCTTTTGGGGGTGACAAATCAGTATTACCCTCCAGAATACGACAGACTGTTACCTCCCTCCAGTCTGCCCCCAACACCGTCTGCCTAATCTAATGGTATTCCAGATAACTGGCCTGCTGAGCAACAATTCCATACAAAGCACAAGGGAGAGGTGCTGGGACCAGCCTCTCAGTAATTTAACAAGAACGTTAGGCACAGGCTGGTGTCATTTCTAAACAGGCTCCTAAGGCAGTGCACGGCGTGTAAAAAATGGAGAACAGCTGGAAATATTCTTGATCCAAATGTATCATGGTTGCCAGTTTACAGAATAAAATCGTAAGACAGGGAAAAAAAATGTTTCCTCCTGTGGGTGCCAAAGAGTCAGTCAGGGCATTTTCCCAAGATTAGGCTAATGGGTGTTGGATGATCTTAGTTAGGGCTTCTCTTGTTGCGATGAAACACCATGACCAAAGAGCAAGTTGGGGAGGAAAGGATTTATTCAGCTTCTACTTCCACATTGCTGTTCATCATCAAAGGAAGTCAGGACGGGAACTCAAACAGGGCAGGACCTGAAGGCAGGCACTGATTCAGAGGCCATGGAGGGGGCTGCTTACTGGCTTGCTCCCTGCTTGCTCAGCCTGCTTTCATGTAGAACCCAGGACCCCAGCCCAGGGATGGCCCCACCCACAGTAGACTGGGCCCTCCCTCATCCTTCCTTTCTGATGACTCTAGCTGTGTCAAGTTGACATGCAAAAGCAGCCAGTACAGATGAGGTCATTCCTTATGTAGAAAAGGGATTCAGGCAATGTGCTAAGTTTGACCTGATAGATACATGCTTCACCGAGTGTACAACAAGGATAGTTTCTTTTTGCACTTATTTAGTTTAGGGTTTTTTTTTTTTTGTTGTTGTTGTTGTTTTGTTTTTTTTTTGTGAGACAGGGTCTCATCCTGTATCCATGTGTGGTCTTGAAATCACCATGATCTGCCTGCCTTTGCTAGACATTAAAGCTATGTTCTACCATGCCCAGCATAGCAAAGATTTCAGCAGCAGGAGACACATCATAGATCTTCACTATTCCTGTGAGGGGAATGAGCTTCAGTGCCTCCAAAGATACCAAAGTCCTTAGAATCCGGCCCTCTCTCATGTGATCACATAGTATTGTATATAGCCTATGCACATTCCCCGTGCTCGGAATCACTTCTATATAACATAACAAATGCAACCTCAAGGTGACATAAGTGGTTGTTAATAAGAGTAAGATATGGCAAGGAAATATCTGTATGCATTCAGTTACATTGTTTGAATCCATGGTTAGTTGAATGGGTGCAAATGGAACATGGTATTCAGAGGGCCAACTGTCACACCCTTTCTGTATTCCTCATAGCTGCAAGCTATTTTGCCTTGGTTGTGAATCCAGACTACGAAAGACAACAGTTGATATCCAACAACTAACTATTTTATGGAAGGCAGTGCTTTAGAGTTTTATAGTATGGCAATGTCAAGCAAATATTATGTTCCCAATTTACTGATAGGGAAAGCAAGGCACAGAAAAGTTATGTAACTTCTCCATGGCCACGCTGGCAGTGAGTTGCGGGAACGTTGCTCACACCACAGGGGCGTGTTCTTCGTCTCCTTTCCTTGGCTACTGCCCTGGCAACCTTCTGTGTGGGCTGCTGGGGCTCTAGCTTTAGATAAATTGTGCCTGAGGAAACCTGCACGATGGCTACCTCTGTCTTAGACTTACTGCGGTTGGTGATTAAAGTGTCCTCTCCACCCCTAGCCCTTTATTTCCTGTTCCCAAGTCATGGCTTCATCGACTGCTCAGGGGAGAGGGAAGCTCTGCTTTTGTCTAACCTTCTGCTGGCTCCAGCCAGGGTGACACCAGCCACTACCCTTTCCATTTACCAAAAAGACGGAAGACAGGCCATGCCCCTCCATGTCCCAGCTCAGTGTTTTATTGCTGATGATGGACTTTCCTCAAACACAGAAGTCCTTTCTAAGCTTATTGTCAGGTCCAGAAGACAGTCTGGACAAATGACTAACTGTGGTGCCTTTTAGCATACCAAAGCACCCACGGGCCTCCAGGCTCTCTAAGCTCCCGCAGATACCTGTTAGAGTCCTAGCTCTTCTTCCTGCTTCTTACCCTGTCTAAACTCTTCCAGCTCAGCGGCTTCCCTTCCCCCAGAGCGCCATAAAACCTGACTATTTTGTCCATGTGCTCTCTTGGTCTTTTGTTGTCTTCCTTTCTTGGTCCTTTTTTTGCTCTCTTTCTTGATTCTCCTCTCTCACTCCTCCACCCTTCTCTCATGGACCATGGAGTCGTTGGCCATGCTTAGGTTACTGCTTCTCCCCTGTTCTGGACTCTTCCAGATGCCTCTGGCTGTGCTCTCCCTCATGTCTACAATAGCAACCTTGCCCTCACCCAGACCTTGGGGTGGCCATGTCCTTACTTTATACACTTATCCTAAGGGCTTGAGGCTTTGACGTCAGTTTGGGGGCATCCATCCGCTTGAAACAGCAGCCCATTATTTCCTGCATCACTGCGGTGGGCTGAGCACATACCTTGCTGGCTGCCATGGAGAAGTATTTGAAGGCTGTGACGTTGCTTTGTGGTGCAGCAGCATTCCCCTCCAAATACATCTGCAGACGAAAAAGAGTGTGTAAAGAGCAAAACTGCTTAAGAGTGGTGCAAGGCTAAACAGCGCCAATGACTGCCACAGTGTTGTGAGACTAGTAAACACCACTGGAGTTTACATTGTAACGTCATACATGTTATCTTAGTTTTACTTCAAGTCACAAAGCGGGAGAAACTGTCACCTAGGACGCACACGCTACAGTGATGTTGCCCCAGGACAAAGAAGTGGACCCTGTTTGTGTTTTCTCGTGTTCCTTGCATCTAAAGGACAGGATGTAACATTTCTGGAAGCAGGTACTCATTCCCGTGGTAACTAATGCAAATCGACCATGGGGAGCTGTGGCGGCCCTGGGGAGTGGAGGGAGTAGTCTTGTTAATGGAAGAGAATATCCCATCACAGGGGCATAAGGACTGATTCTGAGTTTGGTGGAGGGAAGAGGCACATGACTGGGCCAGGGCTAGTCCCATTCTCTGGTGACAGCTGGCCTGCTGCTGTTGGGGAAGAGCATGGGCTCGTGGCTATTCTCTGAAAAGGAGCCCAGGCCAGGTCTCTTTCAAGGCTCTGTGAGAGCCTCAGGTGAAGGCTGATAGGATGCTCCTAGGCTTCTTCCTCTCACCTCAGGAGTGCTCCCACTGGCTGCAGCTGAGTGCCTCTTTAGCGGATGACAGAAACGAGTTCTTTAAGTGTGCTCACACCTTACTCTGCATTTAACTAGCCTGCCATTCAATCCTCAGGGAGGGAGGGCGTGTGTGTGTGTGTGTGTGTGTGTGTGTGGTGTGTGCATGTGTGTGGATTGTTTGTTTATTTGCAGTGCAATGGACCTAGTTCATTGAATCTAGGTCCTTGTACATGTTAGGAATGCCCTTTGCCACCGAGCTGCAAGTCTCACCTGCTGAGCACTCTGACTGGCCCCTCTACCTTGCAGGGTCGCTCACTAGATCTGGGCCTGGCTGATTCAGCTGGACTAGCCGGCCGGTGAGGACTGTCTCTACCTATCCAGAACTGGGGCTGCAGACCTGCATAAGCATGACAGGCTTTGGGGAGGGGCAGATGCTGGAGGTCCGAGCCCAGGTTCCCACGCTTGTCAGCAGGCACTGCATAAACAGAGCCATCCCCCAGCCCCCACGTGTCTTATCTTTGAAAGGAATAACAGTTGCTGACGGTCAGAAGCGAGTACCTTTCCTATAAATGCCATGGCGTTTGCGCTTCCAGCCTTTGCTGCCTTTAAAAAGTAGTACAATGCCTTCTGGAGAGAAAAGGGACAGTGTTATCGCCAGGCACAAGTACATTCCACAAAATGGCTTTTGGAACTAGATTTTATTCATTCAGTATGCATTCAAAAATATCTGAGAAATAACCACTTTGTTCATTTACGATATTCTTCCAAGAGTTCTTTAAACCATAAACCTGAAGAGTGGGGGAATATGTGCATATATGTGTGCGCGCATATGTTGTGCGTATTCTGAAACATAGGGTGAGTTATATCATATGCATAGAATTTAGAATGTAAAGACATTTTTCTTCTCACTTTTGGAAAATTTAGATAGGCAAGTGCGTCTTAGGGAAAGCTGAATCTCAGCTGCAGATTTAAGTAGTCTGTTATTTGGGAAAGTCGGCTTCTATGCATTTATTTTGAGACAGCTTGTACTACAGTTGGCAGAGTCCTAATGTTTAAAAGCAGACTAATGCCAGACACACCCAGATGCTTGCTGAGACTGTGTTTGTGTGTAGAGGTCAGCTTCAAGACAGTTTCTTGTGAATCAAAATAAAAAAGACCAGCAAAGTCTCCAGAGTCTCTAGGTGATAAGATTAAACAGTCTAGAATGATCTCATCTTTTACTCCTACACTTTCTAGGCCTCATCTTGACCCTCTATAAAATTCCTGAGAAATAAAAGTGACCAACCTGAGGATCAGACTTAAGGACAACCTCTTGTTGTCATGTTTGAACACAATGTGTCCGTTGTTTACAGGCTTTGCCTAGGTTAGCAGGAGATCTGCCTATCAGTAGGTACGGTATTGTAAGGCATTCATAAAGGAACAAAATCATTCTCCCTTAGATTCCATATTGCTAGAAGGTGTTATGCAAGCTACCAGGTGAAAGACTGATATTAAAGATTTTATATATTGCTGACCCTGAATGATATAATACTGATCTGCTAAGTAAGATGTTCCCATTGGTGAAATGGTGGCATGACTGTTGGGGCAACTAACACCTTTCTGATTGCATTTAAGGTCAAATCTACATGGTTGATACTGTTAACTTGACCAAAAGCCAAGAGCTAGGAAGGCCCTAGGCCCCAGGAGAACTTACTACCTTCATTTTGCTAAATTCCCATGTTATGAAACTGCCTTCTAAATACTTATGTTTATATGCCGTAGATCAGTGCTGCTGTCAACCTCGGTCAGAGAAGCTTCTTTACAGTGAGTAGCACTTAATGCAGACACTCATGATTGGTGAAAGACCTGAGAATAAGTTATTGCTGAACACTCAACCCCACATCAAACCAAACATTCCCTACTTCCCACCTCCTAACCCCACTGGCTCAAGGAACATCATGGAAGAGGAGATGTGAAGATTGTCTGGACCTGAGAATGAGGAAGAATGCTGGGAAATGCTGTCTTCTTGACATGTTTCACTTATGAATGGGCAGCAGCTGTGGTTACAGCACAAGAACTGTATAAGATCAGGCCAGTCATCATTACACTATGGGTGGAGGAGGGCCTTACATGGCCCTATCCCCTAGCTGAGGAGCTATGGGCAGTCGAAGATGCTGGCGATATAGAGTCTAGTTTCTCTCAGGGTTTGATCATGAGTAGGTTGCTGATACTCCAGTGAATGGCTCCACACCAAACGGCATGTAGGTAGCACTAGCTGGACTTAGTTTTATTACTATATAAATGAATCTATATCTATATCTATATCTATATCTATATCTATCTATCTATCTATGAAGAATATGTGAGGTGAGAGGGGATGTATTTGGAGGAGGGGCCTGGGGGAGTGAGTAGGGAATGATGAATAGATACAGTGAAGATAGATTGAATACCAAGAATAATAATCAAAATATCAAAGAATGAATAAAAAATATTTTAAAATACAACATGGTTCAACATTTGCTCCCTGAAAATGGTGCTGAGAAAAAAAAGATCGTATGTTAGTAGACCAAGCATGTGAGGAGATAAAGGAATGTAGTGTCCCAAATAATCAGATGTGTGGGGAATGAGAGAAGAATATAGGGGTCCTGCCTCCTGAGAAATGCTTATACGGCTTCTCTTTGTAAATGCTCGCACCGTCACTGGGTTGACCCTGAGCCCGGCTTAGGGGAGGCGTGCAGGTCAGTCTCCCTGTATGTGGAGCTGGAGGCAGGGTGATCAGAGTGCAAGGTCATGCCCAGCTACATACTGATTTTGAGGCCAGCCTTGGCTACATGAGATCATGCCCAAAACAAACAAACAAACAAACAAACAAACAAACAAACAAACAAAACAATAATTACTCACTCAGCCATCCATGCATCCTTGAAATATTTATTGAGCCAAGCCAAAGATGTTGGTGGAGTGCCTGTTTAGCATGTGTAAGGCCTTGGACTAACCCCAGCAGCACATAAACTGGATATGTTGCATGTCCCTGTAACTCCAGCACTCAGGAGGTGGAGCAGGAGGATCAGAAGTTCAAAGTCACCCTCAGCTATGCAGTGAGTTTGAAGCCAGCCAGGGATACATGAGACCTTGCCTCCAAATTACTGAGTGCTTATCAATTGCTCATTCGTCAATGGACATTTAAATCAGGATGGATCTTAAGGGCGGCTTATTATGGTGTAAAGTTATATTCACAGCTACTTTCATTCTCAAGAGAAGATAAAAATAATGGTTTTCCTAGCAGCTTAATGGTGTGTCATTATGAAAGATAGCATGCCCCGGCATTGTGTTAAATTTCATTATTTAAACTAATTCTCTCCCTCATAAATGTGGCTTTTCATTGGCTCTAAGAAAATTCCCAGTTTAATCAGTTTGTAACATTCTTTCTAGAACGTGAAGGAAATGCATTATTCCAAAAACATTTATGGACATTTCTTTTCTCCACGGCTCTGTAGGTCATCCTGACATGGGCGGTAGCTCTTTCTCTAGATGGGGGAGACGAGATGAAGCAGCTGCCCTTCGGGCTGATATCCTCCTCTGCTGGTTCTAATTTAATTATGCTGCATCCACTTTAATAATATGCATCCAAACACCCTGTTTTCCTAATGCAATTCATTCTGAGCTTTTATATTTTTAAGAATGCAAATGAAATTAAAATTTGCATGTAAAAATTCAAGATAATGTAATCAAGAATTGCACATATACAATTTTTTGATAATTACAAATTTGGTCAGAGAGAGGCCAAATTGTTCCCTGTGATAACAAATTCCAAGAAATTAATTCCATCAAGTAGCAAGCAGTGATGGGGAAGGCAGGGTAGCTATTCCTGGGTAGTTTGTGTTCTAATTTGCTGATCAGCAAACTGCCATTTTAAACTGGCACATTTAAAATGAGCCTTGTAGTAATAGTCCCTTCAGCGGACTGACACATCACACTGGCTGGAATGGTGGTTTTCAGGCTGAGTGGCGTCATCCAACGCGCCGGCCACTAACCTCTAGTCATTCAACATATATTCACCAAGTGCCTCTTATACGCCAGGCATTGCTTTGGTGGAAGGCAGACTGGTGAGCAAGAGGAAGAAGAACGTGTTCGCTGTGGCCACCGAGAGCGGCAACAACCAGGAGAGTGCGGGAGCTGTGTGTGCTGTGAGGGCATACAACACTGGTGTGGGAGCCGAAGTGACGGGACACCAGAGTTACCAAGCAAACCCTTTCCAGGGGCCAGGTGCGGGGAAGAAGCGGACGGGAGCAGCTTGCAGTAGCAACCTTTTGGGTCTTTTCATCCTTTTGTCTTCCCTCTCCCTTGTGACTAGCTAACTGAGCACAGGCTAGTCAGGCTGTAGAGGAATTTACACACTTACACACACAGGCTCCTAAGACTATGGAACAGGAGGGACTAGCCTGGACTTGTCCCAGAGAGTGCCTGAGTTGCTGGCAAGGTTCTGGAATTAAACTCGTGGTTTTGGAGTCTCTGGATGAGAAAAATGAGGCCCATCCAACTAAATAGAAAGTCGGAGATGAAGGAACCTCAGAGATCGTCCCATTCTATATTCTTGCTCTGAAAATAGGGAGGCAGATTTTCGAGGTCACATTGTGGGAGTGGTGCAAAAATAAATGAGATTTAGGAAAAATAACAGGTTTTTAATTCTGATGGCCTGCATGCAAATTTTGCTTCCTTATTTTTATTTTCCGTGTGTGAGTATTTTGTGTGCATGTGTGCGTACCACACACAGAAGAAGGCCAGAAGAGAGCATCAGATCCTTCGGAGCTGGAGGTACAGATGGCTGTGAGTCACCACGTGGGAGCTGGGAACTGAACGCAGGTTCTCTGCGAGAGCAACGAGTGCTCTTAACTGCTGAGCCAGCGCACAAGCACTCAGATTCTGCTTCTTGATTACACCTGCTTTCCAGCTGTGAGACTTGAAGCAATTTGCCTTCTCTCTCTAGACCAAGCTTTTCATTTATAAAACACGCTTAAGACGATCTCTACGGCAGACTGCCGGACAGCCTGCGACAGGTCCTCATGGTGCCTGGCTCCCGCCTGCTGCCACTATAGCCTTGAACCCTCCAGTGCCACTGAGGAGGCCTGGCACTTCGCCTGACTCTGTGTGTGTGTGTGTGTGTGTGTGTGTGTGCGTGTGTGTGTGGATGAGGGGGTTCTGCAAAAAGGCTGCTGTTATCCTTAAGCCAATCACAGTTCCTGTTTCTAACTATCGAGGAAATGGTCCCAGCATGTGCCCTATGCCTCACATTTACTGAAGGCTAAAATCGGACATTGGATCTTAGGAGTACAGAACTCCCGTCTAAGGAGCTAAGACGGTGCTTACAGTTAGGTTTTAAAAGCCCTGGAAACCCTCATCTCAGCTATCCTGGGATACATATGCTTATGTAAATTGCTACCTACGAAATGAAATTAACTTTGACATTTATCTAATGTTTGCTGTCTCACATGTAAAGGAGAAAATGCAGTACTAAAGATATACATAAAACAACAATGTCGAGTGAAACGGAAAGTAACAACAGACCCCTTCACGCAGTCTCCTTACAAAGGGCCATTTCCGTCCCTTAGGCTGTCGGGTTTATGTTGAGAAAATGAGCACGTGGCTCCTGTGAAATGACAGTGACTGCAACATCATTTTCAGCCAGAATCCTGTTTTCCCAGATCTGATGACTGGCATCTTGAAACCACAACCAGAATCTAACCAGAAGGTACCTGCAGGGCTCTCATCTTACCCCGGAGGGTACTGTGTAGGTTAGGTCTGTCCATTCCTTCCCTTTCACTATGTATTTGGAGGGTTAATTAGGCCCGTAACTCCACCACAACAAGGTAAGGTTAAGCGAAATGATTAAATGTTTTACAACATTACACTTAATTTAAATTATAGCAAAAAGCTGTCCGATTTCTGATCTAGGCAAAGCTGGTCTGACCTAGACAAATTAGGTCCTCGGGCTGCTTAGTGGGAATTTCCCATGGGATTTTTGGCTATTGGCCTTGGGGATGAAAGGTCAAGGCAGGGTGTGGGACGAGGCCAGGGTGTGGGGCGCAGCCTGATAGAGTGTGGGTAGCAGGAAGTGACCAGGGCCTGCGCAGGCAAGGGGTGTTCAGATCTGACCAGAGCGGCAGCTGAGGGTTCCCCACAACTTGCCCACCACCCCTCTTCCCTTTTCCACTGGACCCTCAGGCTCCCTTACCCCTACAGGACTGAAGTTCAAGATCAACTTACATAGTAATCCTGATCTAGGCCTTTCCTTCCAATTAGATGTAATTGTCCAAGAGATACCTAGAAATGAGGATTTTTTTTTAAATTGAAAATGGCTTTAGCAGCAATATTAATATAAATACAAATGGCATTTATTTGTTGATTTCACCATAGTTCATTGTTTCAGTTTGATGTTATTGGCTTGCTTTGAAAGAGGTGAGGAAGCAGCCCAGTCTCATTTAATTCTAGGTCTTTTATCTCATGGTCTGTGGCTACTACGATGCATATGGCTTCCTCAGTAGAGAAGCCACTGGCTGGTGTGCGGTGACGATCAGGCTCAGGATGAAGGGGCTGAAGTCTGTGTCACTAAGATCACATAGGTGTTGTCGCATCCTGCTCTGGGTCTTCAAGAGTTCATCTACATTACTGGCAACTCTGGGAGCACTACTCTCCCACAGCTAAACCTTAAAAAGTGAACTTTCCAGGGGAACTGCAAAATTACCCCCACCCCAGTCACCATCACCTTGCTATCACTATGGTAACTACCTCTTGAATAAGCCTGAAAGGCTTCAGGTAGCAAGGGGACAAAACAGAAGAGGGATGGAGAGGAGAGGGTGCCTCCTCCTTCACATTCAAGGTAGGACATTGCCAGCCCTCCTGGCACTCAGGAGGAGCCAGCCCTCTGGCAATTGGCATGTTCTAAGAAGTCGGTCTTTTCTGTGTACATTACTTGTATCTGAACATCTCCTCTTTCTGCCAAAAACTTATAGTATTGGTATATGTCCCAATCCAAAATCTCACTGTTGGAACTCAGATTTTCAGGTCTCTCGGTTAGTCTCACTTTTTCCACTGGAATACCTTCACTTTTTTCCAATTTGTCAGCAACTGCGAATAGAAACAAAGTGGGAAAACAGAACACTGGGTTGCAGGAAGTACACTTGGAGGAGCACGACAGACTCATCCTGCTAAAATTGTGCAGGAGTCTGGATGGTGACAGGGAAGAGCCTTAGGAAATGGAGATTTGCTTCATTTTGTTTGTTGGGATCTGAAAAATGGTGGGGAAAAGTCTGTGCTTGCGTCTGAAACTCATTTAAGTGTTTGTCAGCATAGACTTCTTGAGATTGTAAGCAAGGGGACCACAGCGGAGGTTTTCCCCGGACACCCACCAGCCCATTTGTGGTGACTTTTTCTGAGAGGAGAATTGCAGTGTAAGAATACGGGCTACTCAGTTATTCCTTGTAGACAGGCTCGGATAAGTTCAGAGACGCTTATGCTTGACTATGCCTAACACAGCGTGAAGTCTGAAACAGATGTGCAGCAATGCTATTATCACTAAGCACACGGAACGATCTTGTCGTAAATGGCCTCTGGAATCCCGCAGTACTTTTTTTTCAAGCCCTGGCTTTTCCCAGACATCTGAGATACACTATTTGTCGATGTCACTCTGAACGTAGAAGTTAAGCTAACAGGCTTGATCCACTTCTAGGAAGACATTTATCTAGATCCATACGTGGCCACACTGAGTGATGCCGTGAGCCCCTGAGGACGCAGACTCCCCCCACGCTCTTCAGAAAGCTGTCTGGCTGGCCTCCCACTTGAAGGGACTCTCCTCTGTCCCCTGTCCTAAGTGCTGAGACCACCATGCCTCTAGGCACTTTGAACAAGCCGTCCAGCGTTACAGAGTTTAGACGTAGGGGAGCTTGCTTAATAGTTGCCAGTTTAAGGAACAAACACTCTAGCCGGGCGTGCTGGCACACCGCCTCAGCACCCACACTGGGGGCAGAGGCAGATGGAGGTCTGTGAGTTTAAGACCAGCTTAAGCTATGTAGGCAGTTCCAGGAAAGCGGACCTACATAGTGAGACCCTGTCTTGGAAAATAAAGAAACAAATATTATAAGAATAAGTCAAGCAGAAATGTTTGAAGATAAATAGTAACAAAATAAGAGGTGAGTGCAGTCATTTAGAACATTTTGGAAGATAATTAAGGTTGCCCAAACTTTACATTACTGTAAAGACTGTATTAACTGGATGTTAATGACATACATTTCACTATTTTCATAAATGTATGCCAACTGGCATTGATGTGTGTGTGTGTGTGTGTGCACTTGTGTGTGTCTGTGGGTGCAGGTACATGAGTGTGGAGGCCAGAGGTCAACCTTGGGTATTTCCCCTCAGCGCTATCCATCGTGTCTTCTGATGTAAGACCTATGACTGGCCTAGAGCTCACCAGAGAGCCTGCGATCAGCTTTCTCTGCTTCCCCGGAACGGGGATTACCAAGACGCGCTGCTGTGCTACACTTTTTTTTTTTTTTTTTTTTTTTTAATGTGCATCTGGGGCTTGAACTCATGCTTGTATGACAAGCCCTTTATCGGCTAAGCCATATCCCCATTCCTGCCTGGTGTCAATATTTTTTAAACCGCTTGGTAAAAGTCTGTTTTCTTTCTAATCGTGGAGGGCTGAACAAAGCCCGCATTTCTCTGCGTGCTAGGCAAGTGCTCTACCACTGAGGTAAGCTCAGATCTGTTTATATTAAAATGAATTATGAGAGCTGGGTGTGGTGGTACTCATCCTCAGTCCCAGCACTTGGGAGACAGAGGCAGGCAGATCTCTGAGTTCGACATCAGCCTGGTGTACACTGGAGTTCCAGGACAGCCAAGGCTTTATACAATGAGGCCCTGTCTCAAAACCCAAACCTAAGCTAAACAAAAGAACCAATGAACACACACCACCATCCTCCCGAAGGGTTTCTGAGAATCACTCACTGTAGTCGGCCACTTTCTTGTAAAGCTTTAGGGCAACTTCACAGTTCTGTGGAACATTGATTCCTGACAAATATCTGTATCCCTAAAACACAGGCGTGTATATGTGTTAATATTCAGATAATGTTATACTTATGTCCATTTTGGTCTAAGAATATTTAATTTACAGACCAGAATCATCTGGGACATCATGCTTCCTCCAGCACTTCCAAATGTATAGTATATCAGTGCCTAAGGTATAAAAAATACAATTATATTGCTTTCCTAAACTTGGAAGTCAAACTAAGCACTGTTTTTTTTGTTTTGTTTTGTTTTGTTTTATTCCTACCCTAGCAGTGAACCGAGTGCTACTCCAAAATATGTCCCAAGTTTCAGTCTGTTCTGCTAAGATGGTTTTCGTTTATTGGGGTTCCCAGAATCTAGAGTCTGTGATAAAGGTGTGGTGTATGGTATTTCATTTTTTCATCCTAAAACCCTATGAAGTAGCTATTACATACCTCAGTAAAGGCCCTGACATATGAGACTTTGGGAAGTTTGTGACAGATTGCTGAATTTCTCTGCTGAGTGGGTCCTTTTAACACCACAGTACAGTGAACCTCTTTAAGAATAGATTGTAACCAATGCTCCTTTTAAGTAAATAAAATCTGTTCCAGGAAAAAAATAGAGTTGACTTTACCTTGGCTTGGTCATATTCCATTCCTATTCCATAAGAAGATAGAAATCCTAGTGCCTAAAGGGCAAAAGAAAACACGAAACTGGATCAATCATTTGTTTCATAATTTTTATGAAATTTGAACCTAGGGCCTCCCATATGTTAGGCAGGTACTCTACTTCTGAGCTACCTCCCATCCCTAATTTAAGTATTTTCAGTCACAGTTTAGGAATAAAATAGGATAGGATTGACACAACAAAGTATTTAAGTTAAATACACGGAGTAAGCGGAATAAGTGAAAGCCTGAGCACAGGCCACGGAAGTGTGTGTCCAGCTTCCAAAGAGCGTTTCTGGAAACCGCAGAAGGTGACGCCGTCGGGCAGGGTGACGCGGCACGCTGGAAGGCCGCCCAAAGCCCGCAGAGGCAGCTCCAGATGGTCTGACCACATTTGTGACGGCGAGAAGGCAGCATGGGCCCTGCAGAAGTGTGTTTCTAGTCTGGTTTGGCTGTTTCCGGGCTGGGGCACGGGATGCTGTGTGCCTAGGCCGCTGGGCAGCGGCGGCGAGCTGCAGGTCCGGGCCCCAGGAGGCCTGCATGGGAGGTGCGCCTCCGTAAGCCACAGTATTTGGAAGTGACGTGGCTAAGTGACTTCGGTGTGGGATAGCTGCGATTATTTTATCCGTTTCCTCCAACAGCTGTCTGTGTGAGCGAGTCTCAGTGGTCTCCTCTTGTCCGTGCCTGCCTCCCGGCGCTGTCGTTTCACAGGTTTGCAAGAACGCTGCCAGATGTCAAGCAGGCCAGGCTGCGTCACTCAGAACTGTGCTATAGTTTCAAAGACTTTTTGTTGATTTAATTGTGTGTGTGTAGGCCAGATGGCAATCTCAAGAGCAGTTCCTCAGGTGACCTCCACTTCTCTTTTGTTTTTGTGCGTCAGGGTCTCTTAGCCTGAAATCGGCTAAGTTCCGCTGGGTCGGCTGGCCCACAGCGCCAGGGAACATCTGCCTGTCCTTGCTTCCTTAGTGTTGGAGTCAAAAGCTGATGCTCGGCCCGGCTTTCTGCGTGGGCGCTGGAGCACAGACCCTCATCTTCACAGAGCAAGCCTTCCACCAGCGGAGCTCCAGCCCCAGGCCCGCATTGCGCTTGTGATTAGGAAATTGGTTCTATTATTTTTTCCCTCAAAAGCACAGCAATTCTAACACATTAGTGTAACTGTGTCCTTTCCATAATCCGGAGGTAAAAAAGCCTCCACGCCTGTAAACCCTCATGTTCTTCTTCAGGCTTAGAAAGCATCCTTTTTTGTTTGTTTGTTTCAGTTTGTAGACTTGGCTGTCCTGGAACGCTCTATGTAGACCGGGCTGGCCTTGAACTCAGAGAGCCGCCGGCCTCTGCTCCTCAGGCCCCCAGGCCCAGTAGAAGCATCCTGTTGAAGGTGCGCAGTGAACACTCAGGGAGGCCGGCAACTGCCCTGCACCTGGCGGCGGGTATTTGAACCGGCTCAACTGGCGCGTTTTAAGGACACCATTAACCCATTTTAGGTTAAGAAAAAGCCTTTTTCTTGCAGCTCCTGTCAGCTCTCGGATCTGCTCCGCTCAGCTCTGGTTCAGTTATGCAGAAGTTCTGACCGCAGACAAACATCTTGACCTTTTAGCAGGGCGTCGTCCGGGCCTGCATTGGAGGACACGGTGGAGAGAAGTTGCCTCTGCTTCCGCTCTGAGCTGGCGGGGACCTTCTCTCTCTAAAGCTCACCGGAACTGTGAGGGCCGGAGCGTGGCGGCACCCGTGTGCAGCCAAGCCGCCGCGTGCTTCCTCCTCTTGGGGCGCGGGGTCGGCGCCCTGCAGAAGCTGTCTGTCTGCACCGCCTTCCCTCTGCGCTTGGGCGCTGCCAGCCAGCAACCCCACAGTCGCCAGCCTTCGCTGCTTCTTCTCTTTTCTTTTTTGAGATAAGGATAAGATAAAACTAAATGGATTGTAAAATGAGTAAATCTTAATTCAGGAAAGAAACATAATGTGAGTTGAAAGAAGAGGGAACCTCTGTGCCGCGGTAGCAGCTCTGAAGGGCAAATTCTGCACGCTGGATGGCTCTTGAGACTTGATTCCGACTTCTGCCGTTTGGCTTGTGGCATTTAACACGGGGTTTTTGTACTTGGGATTTACTGTGAAGGTTTTAGTGTAGCGGATATTCTGCCGTATTTTAAGGTAAAGTGCTCGGGTCTGTAGTAACAAGTTAAAAATCGAATATTCTTGTTTAATTTTTCAAAGAAATTATTATTTTTTGGCTTTGAAAAGTGTTTATTTCCTCTGAAAACTCCCTGTTACAGTGTGCAAATTATTATATATTCATGCTTTTAAAAATACATATAAAATTTTACTGAGCAAAAGAGAAATTATTCAGTACCAGTAGCAGTACATAAGAAAACAGTTTTAGTTCCTTAAATGATTGCCACTACTTAAGCACTATATGACAATATTTAGGGCAGACAAATCTAGAAACAACCTTGCCAGAAATTAATAATTATCAACAATCAACTGTAATTGTGGATATTATTTTAGAAACTTCCACTATACCAGAAATTACCTATGATTTTAGCAATTTTACTATAGAACAATAGAAACTGACATCTATTACATATGTTTTGTTGGGCAGTTACACTAACCGGAAAAAACATACAAAAGCAGCATGTGGTCATTGGATCTTATCTCTTACATTAATGACACACCTTTCGGTCACTCAGAAACAGGCATGCATGGTTCAATACCTTGAACAAACAAGTAAAAGTTCTGCTAACAGCAACTTCAAAATTTCAAATTTCTGAAATATTTGCATTATGTCAAATTTCAATTTTATTTGTCTGACTTTAGACTTCCAGTTCTACATCACTACCTGAAGGCTCGTTGTTGGTATTGTTTTGAACTTAAAACAGTAACAACAATTATTAAGCAGTGATTAAGAAAATAAAAGGAAAAAGCTCTTTTACTGTTCACTATTACATTCTGAGGCAACAAGAAATAGGTAGAAGAGTCTATAATTTTTAAAGACAGTTTTGTGGCACATAGTCATTATTGTCATATTCAGGAGCCTTAAGCATTTCAACAGTAGGTTCAGTGCAGCCCTCTTCTTCCTTTCTAATGTCACACAGACCAGGGACAACACTGCATAATGGCCCACTTTGTCACAAAGCTTGAGCTAGTAAGCCAGCTGTTGTTCCCTGAAGCCCCGTGAGGGCGTCTGTAATGCCCCAGGTGCCGGACCTGCCTCTCCATACCAGCAGCACCAACGTTTCTCTCAGAGGAGAACGTTATGGTGGAATACAATCACAGTGAAGCTGCACCAACAAGAACGTTATACTTTGTTAATAATCTTAGCATCACGGCTGCCTAGGTGCAGTGCGCACGTTTATCTAAGGAGACAGTGGGCTAGATGGGCTGAGATTAACGAGGGTAACTGGAAACTGTGGGCACTGCAGCTGTGTAGAGTAATTCGGAAACTATGTTTTACTTTCATGGCCCAGCTCATTCTGTATCTTTTTCAGGCTTTTGATGCAATCAGAAAAAATTTTTAAGAAATTATTTACGGAGGAAAAAGGTGAAGCAATTTTCCTCTAATTACTGTATGACGATGGAAAGCTCTGTGATCATTACTTTTGGCTCAAACCACATCCAAAGCAAAGTGTGAAACAGTGTTAATGAGTAACTCAGGCACTCTTAATATAAGGCCATTAACATCAAAAACACCCACCAGCAGCCCAGAATCGTCAAAGTGATTATTAGATTGATCCTAGAAATGATGCTTTCAGCCATAGCACGGTGCTAATGATGACAGTCCTTCCAGGAAACACTTCAACACTTCAGATATAAAATAAATGAAGAATATGGGCAGACTCTGCCACTGAGATAGAATTATTTTCAAATTGCAAAACATCGCTCACATCTTTCGCTTTTATATACCAGCCGTTGCAATTTTCATATGCTAGATCGGACTTTCTTATAATCTGCAGTAAAATTATTTTGAGTTGTATAGCCAATGAAGTATACACATTTAACTCCAATAACTTTAGAACTTTTTACATTTCTATGTGTACGGGGTGCGGGACAATACGCATGTGACATTCCGAGGACAACTCTTGGGAGTCAGTTATCTCCTTTCGCCGAGTGGGTAGGGCATCAAACTCAGGTTTCAGGCTACCCAGACAAGCAGCTTTCCCTGAGGAGCCACTTTCTTGGAGATGCCTCTATTTATAGCTCCTGTCATCCGGAAGGTACTAAGTCTTTGTAGAGCAGGACAGGGGCTGTCCTTACACCTAATTACTGTTGTTGCCCTTGGGAGGATTTCCTTCAATTTATTTGGATTTTTAAAATAAAAACTTGGGTTTTTCTGAGGTCTCTGTCATTCCCAATTTCTCTATTGTTTTTTCAGAATTCTGATTGTTTTCCCTTTCCCTCTGATATCGTAAGTATCCATTATTCATGCCCTTTCTCTGTACACATACATTCTCTCTCTATATATATATGTGTGCATGTAGTATATATAATAACATTAGTCACATTTCCCAATTCTTGAGGTGCAATACTGTGTGACACTGTCCTCCTAGTTCCCAGGAACATCTCCAACAATGCAGACAGATCAGATCAGGCTAGCTCAGTGTTCCCAGATCAGGCTAGCTCAGACAACATGCCAACAGCGATGTACCTGGCCAACCCTATTAAAGAGTTGTTATCAGAATGAATGGCCCATGGCCGGTCTGGTTTCTGCAATCAGTCATCAAACTACTCACTGTTTGTGGCACAAAAAACTTTTCAACTAGGGCTGGAGCAGTGGCTCACTGGTTAAGAGCACTGGCTGCTCTTCCAGAGGTCCTGAGTTCAATTCCCAGCAACCACATGGTGGCTCACAGCCATCTATAATGAGGTCTGGTGCCCTTTTCTGGAGTGTATGAAAACAGAGCACTCATGTATATAAATAAATAAGTAAATAAATCTTAAAAAAAATCTCTTCAACTATCTGTTCTTTGTACAAAGAAAGAAAAGTAGTATAGAAGAAAGTATAGAAAGAAAAAAGTATAGAAAGAAAGAAATCAGTGCTTAGGGAAGCAACTGACAGAGTTGATAGTCCTGGTTCAGCATCAAGTCCAGCTGCAGACATGAAGACTTCTTGCTCATCCAGGTACAAATGATATGTTTGTAGGCCGTAAAGAGTCAGGCTAAAGATTAAAGGAGTCCAGGATGTCAGAGAAGGTGGAAGTGGGCTTCAGTAGTGAACTTTTACCAAACAACAGCATAACTTGACATATTTCAACAGTATGACTGAAATTTGCGTATCAGACCAATGTCAAGGTTTTTTTTTAATGTTAAGTTTGTTCACACACACATCTTCTCTTCTGGTCTTCCTTGAAACCAGACACCCACACTGGACAGATAAGTCCATTTTTACATATGAGGAAATTGAGACTTAGAAAAGATAATCACAGGGTGGGGGCATTGTAATGTATAAAACAAGAACTGGCTGACCCAAAAGCCAGAGCTGTTGAAGAGAACCTTGTCACAAGCCAGTACGCTTTCATGCTCTTTAGCATTTGCTAAGGACTCTTGCAGATATTATTTCTTTCTTGCAGCAGCTTTGTGAAGTTTGTTCATTACTATCAACCTCCTCTACAGGTGTGGGAAAACTGAGGTTTTGAGACATAACTTCTTTAGGGATACCGAAGGTGAACACATGATAGCAGAGCTGTTAGGATGCAGAGCCCAGAGCTGCATATGATCCGTGAGGTCTGGGAAGCCCTGCTTTGCTACCTCACCGTGGCTGCATTTCCCAGAGGGCCCATCGCTGCCTGCTTCTCCATACAAAGATGACCACAGCCACCGACAGCTAGTGCTTGTAGCCTAGAGCTGTCTCTTCTGCTCCCAGGCTCACCCTAGAAGATTGTCTTTGATTACCTTTAGAGCCAGTGGCGAGTACTTCAATCAGAGGGTAGTGTGGTTGACTTAATTTATACATATATTAAAAATAAGAAAAATTAGGTGGTATAATTGGTGGGGACATTCAGAAAGTATGTTTTTGGTTAACCAAATTCTGGAGATTTCACGGTTCTTGTATTTTATTATCATTCACAAATCTGTCTTTTATATCTAACTGCAAATGCAAATTCTGTGGCGTGAAACACAATGTCTACCAGCATAAATAAAGATCAGATGGCTCTTTAAAATGATGACATTGATCTGCCTGCATTTACACAGAAAAACAGTACTGAGTGAGTAAAGAGCTAGCCAGGGAGCAGCAAATATATATGGGCTCATTAAAAAAAAAACTCTATGGAGTTATAAAAATTCTAGAAGTGTAACAGTGCAGACAATAATTTTCATAACTTCCTCTCACCTAACTAAAACTCTGTCTTTTCACAATTACTGTCCCTTTCCTATCTACCCACTTCTCTCTTTTGTATTAGGAATGACTATGATGTTCCAGGCATGAAACGGAACACCCTACCACAACTCCTTTAAGCCATTCATGGCTAATTAATTAATTTGTTAATTCATTCGCTTTTACATTTTTTGCCTCAGATACTTGGCTACATGTCTGAGATACACCATTGAACGAGATGTCGTGCCCAGTGTTCTATAATTATCTTGACTTTATAGATGCAGATTTAGATTGCTCTTTCCATCATGGGTATTCGGCTCAACTAAGCGCACGGACTATAGGACCCTCATGAACCTCACTGGCCATCAATCTTATTCTGGAAAGCGGGGGTGGGGGGCAAATGGAGCACAGTGTGCCAGGGGGTAAGAGTCACACCTTCAGTAATGTACGCAATCGTCTAGGAGCTACCATCCCAGACTCCTCCAGTGGTGACTCAGGTGATAGATGAGGTCCACATGGGAAGCATGTGAAAGCCGCCGTGGTGTGAATGCTTCCCTCCCCACATAATGACTCCACAAGTTCAGATGCAGGGCTCTCATTAAAAGGTTTACCATGATCAGGTTCAATAGTTCATTATAGTTTTCTCCCCTCCAAACACAGTTTGTCAGTCAGAGGCCATTTCCATCATAAGCCATACCAGGTAAAGACACAGTTAAAATTTTATTCTTATCAGGTTACCTGGGAAACAGAACTAGAGTGTGAACCAAAGGTCAAATTCTCATGCAGCAGAAGGGGAGAGGGTTTTGTTCAGTGAGTAGCTTATCCACTAAGCAAGAATAATAGTGTATTCAAACTTAATCCAACTCCGTGCCTACTTCCTGTAGCGTACTGGCTGACAGCAAAAAGGTCTCCAGGTAAACAGCTCTTAGGTGACTTGACTTTCCCCTTGATACATTCTGAATTCTCATATTTTTATTTTTTTGGCTAATGGCCATGAATTTTGTTTGTACAGACAGATAAAACCTTTCCCTAAGACACTGCAGCATATCAGAGCATGCCCCAGTGTTGTATTGAGTAGCTGAAATCAAATGCTGTTGCATGGTCATTAGGTCTTCTTGCGTTCAGGCGAGAAGCCAAGGGGAATGCATGGTGGTCCTCACAAAAACTGACCCCACAGGCTGGCTCCGGGAGGTCTTGGTCGTGTGATTCTCTCTTGCTAGGCGGCTGAGAATGACCAGAAACTCTGCTCCTTTGCTGCTACCTCAGGGGCTTGGGATTCCAGACTGTCCCACCAAGCCCTGTTTTATGTGGCGCTGGAGCTCACACTCGGCACTTCCTTCACGCCAGGAAAGCAACCTGCCAACTGAGCTACATCCTGAGCCCCCTTTCTTGATTTTCTATGAACTGATTATTTCATTCTTGGATTGAAGTAAAAGACATTTATTAAAATAGAAGAAATTCACCTAGCTTATAAAAGATTTGAAATGGAAATTCAGGCAAACATTACCTTAAGAATAGATTTTGTTCCATATTTCTTTGTAAAGATGAACATGCTTCACAATATTTGTGTCAGAGGCCAGAACATATGCATGGATAGACAGGCGGGTGGATTAGAGAGCAGCTCCACTCTGCTTCTATGTACCAGAACAATTTATCCTAAGCTCCTGCTTTGCTCCCACCTGGACACCATTCCAGTGGCTTCTGGGTGGCCGTGGGCCTGGGCTCAGGCAGTAGGGTGGGGGCAAGATTTTGTCCCCTATTTCCTCTGTTTGTCTGTGTTAACTGAGGATGTAGCTATTTCATTGTCTTTCAAAACTCACGTTTTGGGCTTTGTGTGATCCTTCCTTAGCCAGGGACTCATACAACTGGATAGCCGCTGTTATGTTTTGCATGCCAAAACTTCCAAATAGCAAAGCATCAGCCATCTTTTCCATAGCTTTCAAATTTCCCATGTCAGCGGCTCTGGCAAAGAATATGTAGGCTCTGTTTTAAGAATGTAAAGTAAGGAGGTTGGTTCTCAAAAATGGAAATTTCTGCTCCCTCTTCCATATGATGCCTTCCTTTCAACCAGGTAAACTGCAGTATGATGCAGCCTTGCTGAAATCCCTTACATCTCTAGACCAATAATTCTTTCACTTCTATGTCAATTGAAGATTTAAATTTCAAATATGTCTGACAAGTTGTGAAGCCACTAAGCGGAGATATTTATGTAAAATTTGCATGTGTGTCTACCCTATGAACCAACTAAGGTGCAAAATGAAAGACTTCTCCTAGAGTGAGCTTTTCCATGGTCTCTTCCACTGTTAATAAGCATTTGTCTTATAAAATAAACCCAAAAGATAAAAGAATTATCATAATTGAAATGTCACATCTATGAAATCTATATCACAAGAATGTTGATAAATTTATACTTTAAAATAATCTTCAAAAATAGAGCTAATTCTTCAACACAGCAAAGCTAGACTACTTAGAAAAATAATGATCCAAACCAATGTGAGTGGGCAGGGCTTTAGATGCTAAGTGCCTGGACTCAACTCCTGGCTCCACTAATTACAAGCTGGATAACTTCAGGCTAATGTCACCATCCCTTTGGCCATAGCACTGGGATGGTTGTAGCACCTATTTGATAAGGCTGCGTGAGACAATCCTTGGAGCATGCTTGGCACAGTGCCTTAGTTAGCTATCATGGTTAGGATGATCACTGTTCTGTGATTAGGTGGTAAATGGTGTGGGATTTTAGTGGTTAACATATAGGCACTACAAGATCACCTTACACCGCATTTCCTGTAAGATGTCCCCTGTTACAAGCAGTGACAGAAAGTCTAACAAGGCTGAAACATGTGTCAGAGACAAAAGGTGCTTTGGGGGATTTGTTCTTACTTTTATAATATCTTTTGGTAGTGGCAAAAAACATTAACCATAGTTTATAATTGTGGCTTAAATAAAGGAGCACACACACACACACACACACACACACAGAGAGAGAGACGGCGCAGAGAAAGACAGACAGACAGACAGACCAGTCTTTGATTCCAATTTAAAACAACCAAGAGACTTAATTTTATGCACAGCTTATACTGCTGCTAAGGGGAGCTGCTAGTTGGCAAAGGCTAGAGTAGAATAGGCTGAGGAACAAGAGCCTCAGGTAGAGAGATATCCAGTTAGGCATTTGAGTTCTAGATGTCAAAATAGAGGGTCTGCTCCAGTGGAACAAATTGGAAGCCAGAATGTCAAGAAAGAAATTAATCATGGCGAAAGGAAGCTAGGACTGGGGAAGATCAAAGGTCAATGTGATGATTTAATCTTGATTTTCAACTTGACTGGATTTAGAATCACCATGGAAACATATCTCTGGATGTCTCTATGAGAGTATTTTCAGGAAAGTTTAACTAAAGGGTGAAGCCCCATCCTGAATGCATGGTACCATCCCGAAGGCTAGTGTTCTGGACTCAATAAAAAGGAGAAAAGCAAGCTGAACACCAGCATTTATCTCTCTGCTTCCTGACTAGGAACACAGTATGAGCAGCTGTCTCATGGTCCTGCTGTATGACTTCTCTGCCATGATGTGATGATGTGACCTCAAGCTGTGACCCCATATAAAAGCCTTCTTTAAGTTGTTTTGTCAGATAATTTGTTATAACAATGGAAAAAGCAACTACTACAGAAAGTGTGTACCACTGATGTGATATGCCTGACTATGCAGTTTGTGGCCTTTTAGAACTGTTTTGGGGAGGAATGTGGAAGAGTTTAGAAAGCCCTAGCCTTCTATGAGCATAGCCTAACGGGCTACTCTGGTGAGAGGCCAGGATGCTGAGTGCTCTCTTGTACACCCGTGTCACATTTTGACTTCACTTTGCCCATGTTCTTAATTTGGGTGACACTGAATTAAAAAAAAAAAAAAAACTAGTTTGTTTGTTTGATGGAATCTTGTGTCAGGATAGCATCAAGGCTGCAGTGTGGCTATGTCTCAGTATTCTCGTTTAGATGAGCAGTGAGAGAGAAAGAAAAGTATGAAAAGGAAGGAGCTTGGTCAGGAGAGGATTGGGAGCAAAAGCATTGAGAACGAAGGAGGTTTGGACAAAGCATCTGGAAGTATTACAGAGATGGCTATTAGGAGCACTCTCACACTCTTCCCTGGGATAATCAAATAGTTCTCGGAAGGCAAGTTGCCTCCCAATAAAGGATCTGACTTGATCCAGGCATGGCTCAGTCCAGTGCCAAGAGGCATCAACAGACTAGAATCAAATCTTTAATCCCATGAGCAGGGCTGGCATTGTAGACTTCTTATTAGGAAAGTCCAGTCATAAAAGAGATGTTAGAGGCAGAGCCCAGGATCAGAAACGTTGTTTCTGTCTAGGAAAGATTAAGAGCTGGGCTGCAGTTCCCAAGAGGAAACCAAAAACAAACAAACAAAAACAAAACAAAACAACAACAACAACAAAAAACCCGGGAGTTGCAGAGTTTCAGACCTGACCATAGACTCAGTCTTCAAGCTCTCTGCACTGGTGCACTCTGCTCAGAGCATGTGGTTTGAAAGGAATGCGGGTTCTGCGGATTCTGTTGTTGTCTAGCACTGGCTGCCACAGCTCTAGCATGCCTCATTACCATGCCTATTCCACATCAATCAGCTAGGTATGGTGCTGGAGATTAAACCCACCCCAGGTTGTTGTACATGCTAAGCACGTACTGTACCTTTGAACTACACCAACACCCCTTAATTTGAGGCAAGCGACTCAAAGTTACCTTCCTCCTGACTCTATTTCCTAAATGCTGGGACTGCGTGGTGCCCACACTGCTTTATGTAGCCTGGCTGCCTCTTTGTGAAAGCAAGGGATCTCTTTGTTGGGAGGGACAGTCAGGCCCTGTTCCTCCTACTGTTTGTGTACAGCACCCTTTGTCTCTGCAGCTTCCACTCACCAGTCAAAGGCTGGAGGAAGGGTAATAAACCAACTCCTGATCGCTCTGTGTCAGGCCCTGGGCTGAGAGACGATGTTTCATCCAGGACACAAAACAGTGCAGGAACTTGCCCAAGACAAAATGGCCAGGAAGTGCTGAGTGATGATTTGATGGCAGGCTTAGCTAGGGCTTCAGGACGGCCTGTCACTGGGAGGGACTACATAGACCCAATTTCTGACTTCCTTTAGATAAGGTAGATGAGTGAAAAGGATGAAGGTAGACTGAGACCACGTGGCCGCTACCTACTAACCTCCCAGGTGTGACCATGGCTACATTCACAAGTTTTTGATTCTCTACTCCCAATATTTGCTTGCTTGCTCTTTTTTAAGATTATTTTTTAAGCTGTGTGTGTAGTGTTGTGCATGCATATGTACATGAACATGCGTGTGTGTGTAGAGGCCAGGGAGGGCGTTGCATGTCTTCCTTTGTTTGCCTCCGCAGTATTGTTTGTGATACGAGGTCTCCTGCTGAGCTGTTAGAAGTGCTGAGCTAGACAGGCAGCTGGGAGCTGGGGGTCTATTTGTCCCCATGCTCAGTGCTAGGGTGACAGGCGTGAGACACTGCCTGGCTTTTGCAGCAGTGCCGAGGGTTCAAACTCGGGTCCTTGTGCTCGTGTGGCAGGATTCCACAGAGTGCCATGCCCCCAGTCCTCCTCCCAGCACTTCAAGGGGACAAATGAAGTCCTCTAACCTCCTAAGACTCACCTGAGAACAAAACAGCATCACGTATGTTGAAGTGCCTTGAAAGCTGTAAGGTCTATACAAATACTCAGGTAGAAAGCATGCTCAAACGCCAAACATTTAATTTCTTTTGAAATTTCTCATAAATTAGAGTAAAACGTATTTTTGCTGAATGCGCCTGTCAGTGACTCAGGTCTACATTTTACTTCCTGGAAAGGGACCCCAATCAAAGGGACCCACATAGAATCCTCTTGCTTGTTAAGGGTAATAATTTTCAGACTCTTTAATTAATCACTGAACTCTTTTAAAAGCAAAAGCTGAAGAACAAAATAAGCTTTTCTGTTATGCCAATAAGGTTTTAATAAATAAAAAACCCTAGAAAAAAATAGACTGTCTATTTTTTCATGCTAAAGGAACTAGATACTTACTCTGTTTTTTGTTTTTGGCTTTTAGACTCCTGGAGAATCTTGTTGCCCATTTTAAATAACTCATCTCCTTTATCTGTGATACTTTTCTTGGCTTGCTTTTTGACTGCATGGAACAAAGGGGAAAACCAATATTATTTCTATTTTTAAATTTTGAGAAACAACGTATGGACACTGTGCTGGCATTTTGTTTTGAATTTTGGTACTTATTTGGTAAGTGTTTGCATTTCAAGTAGATCATTCCTAGCTTAGGGGCCTGGAAGGTAGAGGAAAGAGATGCTTCCAATGGAAGGAGAGGGGTTCTCAGCCTGAGAAAATGATTGGGTTACTGCAAGCAGGAAGTGAGGGCTCTCCTGGTACACCTTAGACAGATGTAAGGTCTTAGGCACCGTGTTCTCAGCCCTGGCCACCAGTGCTTCCCTGTCTGTGCCACTCGGCCTGTGTACTTAGAGTCCTGAGATTCCTCAAGGGCAGAGGCAGCAGGCATCCCCAGGGTGACCAGGAGGTGAAGAGGCAATTTTCTTGATACATTTTCTCTGTGTGAGGTTTCTGCCATTCCTAAAAACCCCTGAGATGCTGGAGAAGATTTATGAACTGTCAATAATGACTTGCGTACTTTAGGTGGAGACTTGGCATCGATTTTATGAGATTTAAGAAAAAAACAAATGATATTTTCCTAACATTTATGTAACACAAAATTAAAAAAAAACCCTCTATCACTGGGTTTATTGATAAGAAAAACTAATTGGTCAGATTCCTAATTCCCCACCATTTTCAACTCTCTTCTCTCTCTCTCTCTCTCTCCCTTTGTGTGTATGTGTGTATGTGTGTGTGTGTGTGTGTGTGTCTGTCCTGTGTGTGCTCTCTCCCTCTGTCTCAAAGTCCATTACAGCACACAGTAAAACCTGATTAGGAAAAGAGAGCCTGAAGCCTTTTCAAAGGAAAGGCTTGTGGGATTTGAAGCCTCATTAACAAGGTGACAATGAACTTTAAGTGGCTCTTTTTCTTCTCCCAGACAAGATAACAAAAGTTGTCTATTAAAAAAATAGAAAAAATAGCCAAAAAGTCAATTTAAAGTTATTTTGAATTCTTTGAGTTATTCAATCAATACAGAAACAGCAGACATCTTAACATCTAATTTCTGTTTTGAGTAACATGTTATCTAGCCTCGTGATTAATAATAATAATAAAAAAAGTAATGGGCAAAAACTGACTAATCTGTAAATGGAATAGCAATTGTTGACATTAGCATGCTTTCAAGGCACGAGCATACGTCCTGGAAGATTGACTAGAAGGAATGATTTGCCACAGCAAATTCCTCCCCAGGGCTGGTACTTTTATTAATAATTTTTTTTTTGCCTCCCCAAACATACTGAAGTACATATTTTTGTTACTGTTGTAGGATTCAATTTCCAGATAAAGTTATCTTCTTGATGCTTTAATTTTGTTCTTAAGATTTGAAAGTTTCCAAGTGTGGGAAAGCACAGTAAAGAGATGATTTCAGGAGGCATTCTGAATTTGATGTGAGGTAGGCTGGACACACAGGAAAAAAGCAGGGGAGGGCACAGAGAGCAACATGGTTTGCTCAGACAACCGCTCACTGCCCTTTGCTTTGTTATTATGAAATAATGACATCTCTGACCATATCATCAACCTCTCCAAGTTGCCTGCACCTGACACATCTAGAAATTGCAGAAAAGGACAGCAAATTTGGGTGAACCTTGTTCTTGGAAAATCATGACTCAGTCCTGGAAGTCCTCCCAGAACAAACATACGCCTTAAGTCCTCAATAATCCTCTTCACTGTGAGTTTGCTCATAAGGATGGGCTACCCAAAATCATGGGTTGTGTGGCTCTAGAGAAACCCATAGTTCCTCTTGAGAATATGCTTTCGAGGTAGGATAGAAAAGGGGAATATGAGGAGATATGAGAAGGGAAAAGAGACTCTTATTTTGGAGCCTGGTTGGAGTTTTCAGTGACTGAGAATCGAGAATGGAAGCAACTGGGCACGGCGGCACACACCTTAAATCGCAGCACTTGGGAGGCAGAGGCAGGTGGGTCTCTGAGTTCAGGCTAGCCTGGGCTACGGAGGAGTTCCAGGACAGCCAGGGCTGTCTGAAAACAACAACAACAAAGATTTAAAGTACAATTAACATTTGCTGTGAAGGATGCTCACATAGAGACAAAATTCTTCTATAATAAAGATATTTCATACAAGAATGTTAAAATACCATGCGTGGAGAGGACCTAGACCCCCAGCTCAGTTTTCATGGGGTTTCCTTAGTAAGGGGAGCAGGGGCAGTCTTTGGCATGAGCTCAGTTTCCTCCTCTTTGATCACCTTCCCTTGATGGGGTGGCCTTACTAGGCAACAGAGAAAGAGGATCCAGACAGTCCTGATGAAACCTGATAGGCTAGAGTCAGATAGAAGGGGAGGAGGACCTCCGCTATCAGTGGACTAGGGGAGGGACATAGGGGGGAAGATGGAGGGAGGGTGGGACTGGGAGGAGATGAGGGAGGGGTCCACAGCCAGGATACAAAGTGAAATTGTATATAAATTGTAATAAATAATAATAAAAAATTTAAAAATACCAATGAAATGTTTCTGATGCCTGAGCCTATATGACCTTCAAACATAGCTTTATTCATTTCTGAGACATTTTCTGGGAATCTAACAAACAAGACTATTAACTTTTGTTTACAGTGAAAACATTCAAACTGTCTGTGCCATTCTGGTGAACTTGAGTTTTACTTTGTTGTTATAATCCCATCCAGTGCAGTCGTGGAGCCAAGCTACGAGCTCATTAACTGAGAGAGAACAGGTTCTTTACCAGCTCTCTGAGACGTAACTTTTGCAGCCAGCTTTGGCGGCCTTGCGGTTGTTGTGAGGAGACTGAGTGTGGCCCCCTCTCCAGAGGCTCACACCCACTTTGTCGCGTATCTTCTTTTCCTGAGCCTCCCTCTCCCTTGCTTAAATCTACACGGAAATGTCTTCTCAGTAAACTCTAACTATGCATTGTACTGGCTCATGCTGAGGTTCTTTTTGCTGTGAAGGGGAGGAGAGCGCTAGAAAGAGCCCAGGCTGCCGTAGGCGGCTGTGGCAAGGAGCTGTGGCTCTGGCCTGTGCCCCACTCCTGCGCCCTCACTCTGTAGCCAGCGCCCCCTCCCCAACCCCTCGCTGCCAGCTCCTTACTTTGTCTTGTTTTTAACTCTTCCTCTGACAGTGATAATAACCTAAAACACTGGATGAAGGGCTCTGTTTGGTCCTTTAGTCTTCACTACTTCTCTGCTCTCTGCCAGCAGCAACAGGTTTACCGGGCCTCCTTGAGTTTGCTCTGAAAGGCCAGCCTGCCGGTGCCTGCTCTGCTCTGATCGGAAACCAGCCTTGCTTAGGAAAGGTGCTCTAGTTTCATTTTGCTGCTGTGACAGGAAACACTCTTGTCAACTTAGAGGAGGAAGAGCTGATTTCAGCATACAGGTTACAGTCTGTATGAGGGAAGGCAGGGCGGGGACTGAAGAGGAGACTGTGGAGACTGTTGTGGCTGGCTCCCTCCAAGGCCCAGGCTCAGCTAGTTGTTTTAGGTTAGATGTGTAAACCTGACTTGCCTGTATGTGTGGCTATGTGCTATGTAGACACCTAGTGTCAGCAGAAGAGGGTGTCACAGAGGGTTAAGAGCCACTTTGTCGGTGCTGGGAGTTGAACCTGAGTCCTCTGCAAGAACACGTGATCGGAGCTGCTGGATCGTCTTTACAGACATTTCCTAGGTTTCTTATATAGCTGCGGACCACCTGTCCAGGGAGTGGACACCCAGAGTGGATTGGGTCCTGCTATGTCTATTAATAAAATCAAGGTAATTCTGAAGAGCTGGGCCTTTAATCCCAGCACTCAGCAGGCAGAGGCAGATCTCCGTGAGTTCGAGGCCAGCCTGGTCTACATAGTTACAGAAGAGCCAGAACCACATAGACTCCCTATCTGTCTCTTTGCCTCTCTATCTCTGACTCTCTCTCTCCTTCTCTCTCTCTCAAAAGAAGATGGCACCCCACAAACATGGCCACAGACTTACCCAGTCTAGACAGTCCCTCAATTGAAACCCTCTGCTCAGTTGACTCTAGACCCTGTCATATTGGCACTTAAAGCTAACTGGAACAAAAAGCACTGGGAATGGGCCTCACAAGTTAAAGAGTAGGTGTACCAGGACTGCAACTCCAGTTCTGACAGTTCTGTAACACCCTGTTCTGGCCTCTGTGGGCAGCAGGCACACGCATGGTACACAGACATACATACAAAAACGCTCATACACAAAGTCTAAAATAAAAATTGAGACTTAAAAAAGGGAGAACTAAGTATACCAGAGGTCTTGTTGAAATGGCAATGAATGTGGAAAATGTTCTAACTAAGCTAAATGAACTTTGTATTTCAACATGTATCAGAGACACATGTGTAGAAAAGATTTTTTTTTGGCATTTTGTGACTTCCTTTTCCTTATTTCCATTAATCCATGTCTTAGATAAAGACAGTATCAACCCCCATCCCCAGTGCAACTTCGTTTAGAGATAGGTCTTGAAGAGATGATTATGACACCTAGGAAGGTTCCCATCCAGTATCCCTGGTTCTAACGAGAAGAGGAAGAGGCCCCAGAGTACACGTGCATGTAGAAGAGACATGTCAGGGTGCTGGGCTATCAGTGACACAAGGGCCTCAAGGGCAGATGAAGTGTTCTGTCCTTTATTATCCATTTAAAGGATGCTGCAAGCTGCACATGCCTTAACACATTCCTGTCCTCCACTTCAGTCTTTTAAACATACACTCATTAACTTTGAGCTAGGCGCATCCCCAAGTATGTCTATCATCTTTCTTACTGAAATCGTGTCTTTAAACTGAGCTTGCTCAGTAATGGACCCACCCCTCTGTGAATATGCAATCTTTCTAATAAAATCTTTATAGCTTTTCTTTCTTCTTTTTTCTTTCTTTTCTCTTTCTTTCTTTCTTTCTTTCTTTCTTTCTCTCTCTCTCTCTCCTTTTTTTTTTTTTTTTTGCATTGGAGATATCTCCTACTACTTCCTAGCCTGC